ACCAACCCCATCAATCCCTCGGCTTCCATCTATGGCGGGCCCTCCACCCCGACCCAGAATGAGAGTCGCAACCGCACCGCCGTCTCGTTGCGCGACGCCGGCTTCGGGGGCTCACCACTCCCGTCGCCCAGTGCGCCCGACTGGGCAGACTCGCCGAGCAACAGAGCTTGGAACATGAAAGAGAAGATCAAGGCGGCAACCTGTGTCAGTTTCAGTCCTGACGGGAAATTCTTCGCCGTCGGAGAGGTGAGACATGTGTCGACTTCATGCTGCATCATCCTAACTTTTCCCAGACGGGCTACAAACCGCGTGTACTCATCTTCTCTGCCTCATCAGACGCCCCGTCGGACACGCCCCTCACGTCTCTCTCGGATCACACCTTCGGCGTCAACTGCGTAGCCTTCAGCCCCGACTCGCGCTTCCTTGCTAGCTTAGGCTCAGCCAACGATGGCTTCTTATACATCTGGCACATCAACTCCCGCACCGGAGCTGCCACGCTGCATGCTAGCAACAAGTGCGTCAGCCACATCAATCGGATGGCATGGATGGGAAACAAGCTCGTCACCGTCGGTGTCCGCCATGTCAAGGTCTGGAAGATCGATGACCTCAACGCCACAATGCGCATCAGCAAGGCGCGCCAGAGCGATGTTTCGTTCCTCTCAGGCTCGACACACAAGACATTACCAGGGAGAAACTGCATCCTGGAGAATTTGAAGGAGTCTACATTCACAAGCGTCGTCGCTATAGCCCGGAACAAGGCCATCGTGGCTTCCGACAAGGGAGACATATGTCTCATCGACGATACCGAATCCGACCATCGCTTCTCGAGACTAGTTGATGCCGGCTTTCCTGTCAGTTCCCTAGCAGTCGATGTGAAGGGACGACTTCACATCGCCGGTAGCCAAGGCGCGCTCAAAACCTTCAACATAAAGGAGATGATCGGAAGACTGACTCCGCCGCCCTCGCCTCCACCGCGCATAGAGTCTCCATCCATCTCGGTCACGGACAGCAGCCAGATCGGTGTGATTGCTTGTCTCAAAGACTACCTTATTACGGTCGATGCACACCGAGCAATTCGACTGTCGCAACTGTGCTCCGAAGACGACGAAGGCGTCGTCGGCAACGTCGTTCACACATTGCCTGCGCACGGGCATGCTGTGTTAGGAGTACACGCTGGTCTCACACAACCGAACGTTTTCGAGGCTTCATACTACACATGGGCAGCTGATGGGACTGTCATCTTCTGGAGTCAAGGATCCTGTAAAGGTTCGCTTCAAGTACAGCTTGAGCAGCTGGAGGATCCCGAGGCCGTTCCGAACGAGCTACGGACAGTTCGTGTCTCTGCCGATGGCGCTTTCCTCGTCGCTGGAGACAAGTATGGCGTTCTGCGGTTCATCAATTGCAACACCAAAACCTGCACATTAGAGTTCAAGGCTCACGCCAGTGAAATCACTAGCATCGCCATACACGAAGAGCCGGATATCACTTTTGTCGCATCCGCCAGTCGAGATCGCACCGTTCAAGTGTTCACCCGATTAGAGCAGACCTGGGATCTACTGCAAACATTGGACGAGCATGTGGGAGCAGTAAACGGGGTTTCCTTCTCACGAAATGGCACTCGTCTAGTCTCGTCTTCCAGCGATCGAAGCCTCGTCGTCCGCGAACTGTTGTCTCTCGAGGAGGCTCGTGGAACGACCCGCGCTTTTGTCATGTCACGCGCTATCATGTTGAAGGCAACTCCAGTGTCGTCAGCCTGGGACGTTGATCAGGATGATGTCTTGCTTGTGTCGACCATCGACCGTCAGGTCCACAAATTCGACATTCGAACAGGTCAAAGTCTCAGCAACTTCCGTGCATGCGACACTGATGGTGGGGATGCCGTCGTTCTATCTTCCCTAGTCCACATACCACGTAATTGGGGCGCTCCACTAATAGCTGGTGTGTCGAGCACCGATAAGTCGATACGCGTTTACGATGAAAGCGGCTCTTTGGTCGCTCGTGACTGGGGCCATACTGAAGGTGTCTCTGATATTGCGCTTGTGGAAACACCTGGGCAAGTGAGTGAAGAGTTGGGCGAGAAGTCACTGGTTACAGTGGCAGTAGACGGGACTATATTTGCATGGGCTTTGGCTTTACAAGCTCCCAATCGTCAAGACATATCAAAGTCGATGGATTTGCTCGCCCCAAATACGCCTTCCAACCAGGATCTGCTATCCAACAAGCCACCTCTACGACGCGTATTCTCACAATCCGAATTAGCACGTTTTCAACGCTCACCCGTGGAAGAGACTCCTCCGAACACTGGGAGCAAGTCACCAAAGCTGCGTAAAAAAGTATCAAAATTCTCCTTGGCTCCAACGCCGAAACTTGATCCATCTCCTATGCCTACAAGTTCACGCGAAGGCCGAATAACAGCATGGAATGGCGGGGGTCCAATACGCAAGAACAAGAACCGCTCCCCATCGCCACCTAGCCCTAAAAACCCTCAACTCGGCAAACGTCGCGCCTCCATTGACGCCAGAAGTCGCGCGAAAGCACCTGTCAGCGACTCTAGCAAGATCGGAGCGTCAACCGAGAGTTTATGCAGGACGTTGCGAGCCTACAGGAAACGTCTTGCAAACACTAGTGATACTATTAGCCCAGAGATAGCGAAAGAGGTCGAAAGAGAGCTTGCGGCTACCGCGAGGGCAATTGGTGAAAGGATAAAATCCAAGGCCTTTGAGGAGACGGTCATGGTCAAACTACTGGATCAGTATTCCGAACGGTTGGTGACCATGCTGGATGAGAAAATCGCAGCTAGCGTCGCACAACGGGTACGCGAAAGTAGCGTTGGCAACTTCTCAGACAGTGCAGATTCGCCCGTTCTTGCACAGCATCCATCAAGAAGTAGAGCGGGCAGTGAAGAAATCGGAGCGGGTCGTGTAGATGATTTGGAATCGGGGACCGAGGCCCTGGTCTTAGAGACCACGGAAAGGTGACGATGGAATGAAGGTGTTTAAACACCAACGTGGGTACAGGGGCGCAACCCGTCAGGACTTCGGCGCCCGGATCAGTTTTCATGAGTCATATGGCCAGGTCGGCGTTCAATGGATTATATATCCAGCAAGTAAGCGGCGTTTAGGATAACAGAGCTCAAAGCTCAGCATGACATGGCGTTTGATGGAGGTTGGCCAATTGGTCGACGAGCAATGCTCCGCTAGTACTACAGCATAGGAGATAATCGTAGTCCTTAGTAAGATTTCCTCTCTTTCCAAGAGCCTTCCGTGCGCGTTAGTTCTGCTGTCCTCGCATGCGTCATGATGTTGTGCCTCCTCTCCGTCACAGGAACAGAGCGAAGGCCCAATCGGCTAGCGCACTTGGGCCTAGTCCGGACCCTTACAGTGCCCCCCTTCCTCGTTGGAGCAAAGCAGCTTTCAGACAAATCGTCCTCGGAGCAGAACGATCGAAGAAGCCGTTGATGTTTACAGTCTCGCAGCCCAGTATCACTTGATTGGTGTAGTTCTGAAGTGACATCATATCTAACTAAGCATGAGGCAAGAGATGGCAAGTGGCGACCACTACATTGCAGCTGTGTAGCAAGGTAATTCTGTTCAGAATACCAATACCCCCTACTCTATCCCTCATGAAACGCTTCCTCGCCCACATCGACACTTTAACACGCACAATGTCCCCTCCCGCTACCTCACTATCCGCCACTTCACGTACACCTACATCCCCACGGCCAGCCCGTCTCGACGACTACCTAGGCCTCTCGCACTCACCCCTCGCCCAGAAATCCTGCATCGTAAAACCCCTCTCCATAGCAGTTGAAGACGGACCCGACGGCTCCGTACCAGGCTTCCTCCATTTACCGCCTACAGCATCCGCCACGCCGTCTACAAAACAGCAGCATTCCTGCTTTCAGGCGCGGGTGGTGGAGTCGTGGGACCATCGTCTATGTACCTTTCCCTAGCCGATAAACTGGCTTCGTTGAAGCAGCCCGTACCTGCGTTACGACTTGACTATAGATATCCTGCGCGCAATAAATACTGCGTTAGAGACGTACTAGCCGCCATGAAAGAACTGAAAGACTCGTATCAAATCGAGAAGTTTGTGTTAGTAGGCTGGTCATTCGGTGGCGCACCCGTCTTTACTATTGGTGGGCAAGACAAGAGAGTCGTGGGGTGCGCAACGGTTGCTAGTCAGACTGCAGAAACGGAAGGTATACGGTCTCTTGCGCCATGACCGGTATTGCTTCTTCATGGGACGGGGGATCGCACGCTGAGTCCGCGGTGCTCGGACAGACTGTACGAGATGTATGGGGATGGGGACGAGAAGGAACTGAAACTTTTCGAGGGGGATGATCACGCGTTGACGCAGAACTCGCTCGAGGCGGAGCAGTGGATTGTTGGGTTCGTGCTCAGGTGTGCTGGATTGGATCCTGAGGGTGGGAAGGAAGGGATGGCGGAGAGGTTAGTGGGTGAGGAGGAGAAGGTTGGGTTGATGGAGAGGGGTGGTGATTTGAGGGGAGGGGAGAGTGTGGTGTAGTGGTGGGATGCGTGATAAGAGGCAATCTGCTATGTTTTCAGCCTCCTGAAATCGCGTTCCAGTAGTGGGTATGTTTTGATTCCATGGCTGAGCTGAGTGATGCACCTGCAGGAAAAATAAGCCCGGATGACAATGTCGACTTCAGAATGCTGCCTATTACGCCCGGCGCCCAGGCTGGTCAAAACCAGGGCGATAGCTACGCCTTCGCTTGGATATATTCAACGTTTAATTATATAACGGAGATGTTTCTACGCGGTTAAGGAACCTGCGTGATAGACCGCGGCTGTGGAAGACGAACCAATCGGGGACAATGTTGTGTGAGGCTCAAAATATCTCATGCGCCACATGACTGCAGGTGTGCAAGACAAAGAAATCGCTAAAAAGAAGCAGAGATATCGAATGCCCAATATTGTTGAAGTATTTCCCGGTGTTGTCTTTTTTCCCTTCCTTTTTCTTGCACCTGCATCGCAACCATGAGTTTCAACGGCGCGAACTGTATCCTCTTACCAACTCTTGAAGCAGTCGTCGCACGCTATGTGCTCGCAGAATGTCTTCCAGACACCTCTCTCGCGATGTACTGGCTAGCTTTTACCATTCTCAACAACACAGTCCTCATCTTTCACAACATGGTCCTCTATCCTTTCTTCCTTAGCCCACTGCGCGATCTGCCGCAACCCAAAGGCTTCATCCCGCTCTTCGGCCACGGACGGTTGCTATTGAAGAAGCGTCAGGCAGGCGGAGACTGGCATCTGCAAACCATGAAGACAGTGCCCAACGACGGCATCATCCTCCGACGAGGGTTTCTTCATACTACTAGACTTATCCTGACTACGCCGGCAGCACTGGCAGATGTACTGGTGCACAAGAGCTATGATTTCGAGAAACCGTCCCGAGCAAGAAGGTTCCTGATGAGGTTCCTGGGAGAGGGCTTGTTGCTAAGTGAAGGAGAAGAGCACAGGCTACAGCGGAAGAGGTTAGCGCCTGCGTTCCACTTCAGGAACGTTAAAGAATTGTATCCGGTGTTTTGCGCAAAGTCGATGGAGTTCTGCAGCGCGATTAGGCAGGAACTTTGTGGGCGACCAGATGGCGTACTGGATATCTGCCAGTATACATCGCGGGTGACGTTGGACCTCATCTGTCTCGCTGGTATGGGTCGAGATACCGGGTCTCTGTTGAACGCCGATGACGAGTTGATCAAGAACTACGAGGAGATTCTGGAGCCCTCCGCGGAGAAGATGTGGTACTATGTGGCTAACATTGTCCTACCGCCTTGGCTGGTCAGCATCCTACCCTGGAAGCTGCATGAGCGGGCCAGGGTTACGACGAGGAATTTGCGCAGGATTTGTTCCGAGTTTGTAGCGGAGCGGAGGGCGAAGATGCAGCATAAGGATGCCGAGAGCCGTGACATCTTGTCGATCATGATACGCGACAGCCAGCTGTCGGATAAGAACCTGGTTGATCAACTCCTCACCTTGTTAGCCGCAGGGTTAGTACCCTTAACTTCAAGTCCACTCGTGCACAAAGCTGACCGGTACAGTCATGAAAGCACGTCTTCTGCCTTGATATGGACGTCCCACCTACTGGCCCAGCACCCAGCCGTTCAAACGCGCCTTCGCTCCGAGATCCAGCAATGTATCCCTGATCCAAAAGTCCTCTCGGACTCCAGCTTCAATTCCGCCAGCCTTTTGGAGAATATGCCCTACCTTAACTGCGTCCTTAACGAAGTCCTGCGCCTCTTCCCTCCAGTTCCCATCACGGCGCGCGTCGCCATCAGAGACACGGTAGTCTGTGGCCAAATCATACCCAGCGGCACCATGGTATGGATCGCTCCATGGGCAATAAACCGCAATCCGCAGCTGTGGGGCCCGGACTCTGAAAAGTGCGTACCCGAGCGTTGGATCGACAGCAAGACGGGGCGCGCGACGATGAACGGTGGGGCGGACAGCAACTACAGTTTTCTCACGTTTTTGCATGGGCCGAGGAGCTGTATAGGAGAGAGATTTGCGAGAGCCGAGCTAAGGGCGCTTGTTGCGGCGTTTGTGGGGAGCTTCGAGTTGGAAATGGAAAACCCTAAAGAGAAGGTTGTCGTAGGTGGTGCGATCGCTAGTAAGCCGAGGAATGGGATGAAGCTTAAGCTGAAGAACGTGCAGTGGGGTCCTTGAGAGTTCTGGTGGTTCTGCACGTGGGTAGCGATCGCGGCTGCTACCGTATCATGCTAGGTCCTTTGACTGGCGGAAGTGAATCGCCATGCGCGATGCCGGATTTAGTGAATACTTCCTGTTTTCGTCAAGATCGTAGCATGAGAATCCTGCTGCGGAGGCTTTGCTTTTCTGCATCTACCGTGATGAGCGTAGAAGAGCTGCGTACTAGTGTCGGTGGCAGCCTGGATACAGACTAATACAATGCGGTGGCTGCATCTCAACCAGGATTCGCTATCGCTTCTATAAGCACCAGACGCGAATGCGATGAGTCCACCGAATGAGAGCAGTTGGCCCCATAAACGTTGCCAGGTACGGCTAAAAACGGTGGTAAATACTGAGTCGCAAGTGCTCTGTTGAGGAATGTGCGGGGATGGTGGCCTCGATTGTCTTCCAGCTACTTCGAAATGGGGAGGATCCGAGGACTATGGTGTCCACAGCTTATCTTGACTCGTCTCTAGGCTCGTATGTTGATTTCTTGACTTGTCTTTATAGTTTCCGTTTCCACCATGCTCTCGACGGCAGAATAATTGAGAGTTGCAAAATCCGGCAGATGCGAGATGGTTGCGTGTAGGAAGCAGCGGATCGTGTATTGCGCAGTGATCGAATTGGAAGCACACGGTCTTGGACGTAAACGGTCGCATGAGGAAGTGTCAGAAAGACATGTATGTGTTAGTTACCGCGCGGGAGGAACGGCGGATGTGCGTCCGGACAAGTGTGAGCGCGCAGATGTTGTCATCCGAAACCTTACAAAGCCGGTTGCCGAAAGGCTAGCCACAACTGGACCGCAACATCAAGTTCTGCATCTCGGGATCTGATCGAGGTCGACTAGAGCGAGATCCTGAACAAGATCCTGTGATGCAGGATTGTGGTCTTATCGTACTTCTGTGGGACGGCGCGAATCTGCTAACTGAGTTAAACCGTATCTACCGTACAGAATTAAGCGATATGCACAAGTCGTAAGATTGGGCGTCTACTAATTGGGGGGCGTCTGTTTAGATCGGCGCGGAGTACTAAAAACTACGTGCCATGCCTGTCCGCGGAGCGTGAAACACATTGACATGTCGGAAATTTTTTGGCTGACGTAGCGACACAGCGTACGAGACTATCGCGTTGATGCGATCCTTTGACAAATTTTCCAGATCAAAGCATGAATTCTTTTTTACTCGTTGCGACGTGCCTGCAGCGGGCGCGTACGCACGTAGAGACGGACCCCACGTGCAGGGCTGATCGTGGCGAATTTACTATTGGTTGGCGGTTCTGCGGACGCCACCGAAATGTAGCCTGCCTAACGTCATGCATCAACTTGCCATTTCATAAGGTTTCATACTCAAGATGCAGGTCTTGAGTCAATTGAATAACGTTCTTGTTTCGCCGCGCAGGTGACACGACACCAATTCTGTACAAGATCCATGCTCGACAAGGCTCAGCGATCGAAAGCCCCACGTCGATAAATTCGTCCTAGTGTTAGCATGCGCGGGTGTTTCCTCGTTACGAGTTCCTCAGATATGACAACGGGGCAGAGGGTGTGCTTCTTTAGATTGACTCTCGTTGCGCTAGCTAGGGTAACTAGTCAATTCGAGTAAAGAGCGACATACCTGAACTTGACGATCAACGGTCGGCATATGTAAGTGACAAGTACATACTTTCTCGTTATCCGGTATTACTGTGCCGCAAAGCCGACTCGTCCTTCAACTTCAAGCTGGCGTACGTTCCAGGCTCAAAGTAAGAATAGTAGTGCCATTCGACTCTGTCGAACGAGTCAGCTGCCCCGCAACACCACTGACACGTCTGGTTGTGTTGCAGGGTTGGAGGCTGGCAGCTAGGACCCACGAGAGTATGATTTGCATGCTCCCACAATTGCTGAGCAAGCATTACGTGGTCCAGCTACTACTCTTATCCTATGAGGGATATCGGAATTGTATTTTCCGCCTGGATCGTATACGCAATGCCAAATAGTCCACATGTAAGATTTGGCATTAAGTTCTGCATGTCGATCGACTTTCCCGTAAACACATAGAATCCTAGTCTATGGCAAAAGCGGTACTGTAGAAGTTGGTGGCCGCATGCGAAGTGGTCCGACCACAACGCCCTGGGAAGCCAAAGTCCTGAATGGGTATCCTGGTTGACACGCAGCCGCGCAGCTTGTCGCTGGGAAATCGGTTGGCGACTGGAATTTGTGGGTGGCAAAGCTTTCATGAAGTTGAAATAGAGGAAATCACCGTTGGATGATGTTCTATAGGACACCAATAACAGGGAAAGAGTGACATCAACCCACAATAATTCTGATGATTGGGATCGGAGGGCCAGGGCTGGGGAGAAGCCAGGCGCTTATTGGCCACGGTGAAGCATCCCGACGGGATTTCCGAGGGACTGAGAAGAACCGCAAACCTTAGCTCAACAGACATCCAGCTGTAAGCGTGTATGCGTACAATTCAGGGTACATGTGAGATCAAGTGGGTAAGGCTGCATGTCCATATCCGGATTGGCAGTAGACGCTCACCTGAAGCCTCAATGCGGTCGAAGGTGATCTCGGGTAGCCGCCGTAGTCTGGGGTTCTCACATTACTCGCTCCCTTGCCGCGTCGTCTTCTTCTGTTTTGGAATTACGTTCGGTCTTTCGAACAACATCCCACGTCGATCCATGGTAAACTGCCCTGGATCATGGCATCGAACATCCCGGAGCATCATTACCAAGGAAACTATGGCTCCCCTTTGTTCGGGCAACAGAAAGTTGCGATTCCACGGCTGCAGAGAGTCGAGCAAAGACAAAGTGGACTGAAGGACAGGCGTCGAGTCCCACGGGCCTGTACTGGTGTAAGTCTGAATCGCGTACGAGATTTTTGTGCCGATGACGGGTGCTCGATTTTACACAACTCCTGGTTTAACCAGGAGTCTCAGCCGATGGGCTTTCCGATAGGCCAGTGTTTTTTGAATTTGGTACGGCTTCTGACAGCGGCATTTTTAGTGTCGCTCCCACAAGATCAAATGCACGGGCGAGAAGCCAAGGTGCAAGCATTGTGCGACCACGAATCGCGAATGCGTCTACATTTTGCCCCGGAAAGATCGATTGAAAATGTCTGTCCAGTCTCCCCTGGAAATTATGTTTGCATTGCTGACATTCCCAGCGTCACTGAACAATGCCACCAATTAACCGACTTCCTAACGCAGTTAAGGGACCGGGTAAGCACCGAGGATGGGGAAAGGATTGCCGACATTCTGGAAGATGTGAGTTGGGTCCTGATAGATCTTATGCACAAGACGCGAAAGGGAAAGACTAGAAAGCTGACATGGGCTAGATGGATGAAGACCTGTCAGAACAGAGGCGTACTCCGACCCCAATCCCCTCGCAACCAGACGTCGACAGTCATGGTTCACAAGGCAGCGGAGAGGCGAGCGGTTTCGAGCACTTCGAGCATCTTGACACTGAGGCATTGGATCTGCTGGACGAAGACTTACACAGTAGCGACGGAGCCCGGTCAACAGGATTCGTTGGCAAGAGCTCAGAAGTACAGTGGTTGCGTACAGTAGCTCTTGCTCAACAAGAAAGACCAGACGGAGAATGGTCCGGATCCAGGTCCCAACGCCGTCCTTCGAACGTTCTCAGCAACGAGCAAGTAAGCTCATTCAGCTTCTGGGCCGACTGCGATGACGTGAGTGTCAACTTTTACGTGGATCCGTATGAGCTGCCGCGACCCGATTTCGCCGAGCATCTGGTGCAATGCTACATGCTCAGAGTGCACGACTCTTTCCCGATTCTACCACGCAACTTCGTCAAACAAACTCGCGTATACTTTGCGGCGCTACGTGAGGGAAAGGCACCGCGTCTGAATCCCAAGTGGCAGGCGATCCTGAATCTTGTTTTCGCTATCGGCGCCAACTATTCGTATCTTTACAACAAGGACTGGCCGGAGGGCGATGCGAACCTGTTCCACGCAAGAGCGAGGGCTTTTGGGTTGAATGAAGCCTCCCTGACCACACATTCCGATGTACCGCAAATCCAAGGCTTGGGGCTTCTTGCGTTTTATTGGCTAAGTGTTGGACAAGTCAGTCGGTAAGTCGCAATCCGGATGGAGAGTTAGTGCCGTCTTGCTAATCAGTCCAGGGCGTGGACGCTTGTCGGTGTGGCTTTGCGATCAGCCTACTCTCTCGGTCTCCATGTACGGAACGAGGACCCCTCTGCAAACGCATCAAAACGTGAGACGTTGGTGCAAACTTGGTGGAGTTTGTACTCACTTGAGAGAATTCTCAGTATCATTACTGGCCGGCCCAGCATCATTGTGGACTCGTGCTGTTCGGTGCCATTGCCTATGACGAATCCAGGAGAGGAACCCCTAGGAGAAGCGGAGACAACACATGGCATGCGTACGGTGATTGCATCACTATCAGACTCGCCCACATTTTCCGCCTCTTCAAATATCGCCGCGAACCCTCCTCACATGGCGATAGGGTCTCGGGCAACGGATGTCAACTCAGGCTCTTACTTCAGAGCTGTCGTTCAGCTGTCCATTATATCCCAAAACATTCTCACGTCTCTTTATTCCGCGGGTACGATGATCCGGTCGCCAAGTGAGATCCAACAGGATACCCATCTTCTGAGCCAGCGTCTCGATCAGTGGAGTTCCTCATTACCACCAGAGTTTAGATCGCATGAAGGATTGCGTGAACCGCATGACGTGTTCGCCCGGGAACGCGTGCTTCTCCGATTCCAGCTTTGCACCGCGCGGATCTTGCTCACACGGCCGTGCTTGACTGCACGGCGACAGCCATGGAAGGATGCGGGCGACGCAAATTTCTCGAGGCGCATGGCGGACAGCTGTATCGAAGCTGCCAGAACAATCGTCGCTTCTCTTCCAGAGGAATACAACCCTCAGATGTATGAGCAGTGTCCCTGGTGGTGTCTCGTGCATCACATGATGCAAGCCATCTCTGTCTGTCTTCTCGGTCTCTCATACCCAGCATCGACGTCTTGTGAGCCTAAAATGATGATCCATTGTACAAGAAAGGCGATCCGCTGGCTGCAGATGATGAAGGGACCCGTGGCAGAGCGCGCGCACCGTGTGGCTATCGGCTGCTTTGAGGATCTGGCGAGACGATACGACGTCGATATATCGGATTTATGGAAGCGGAAGGAGCCTTCGGTGGTGCGATCGTCGACCTCCAACAGTCGTGCAGGCCCGTCGCCGAATTCATCGGCGCAATCCGACACTATGGGTCAAGCATCAGGGTCGATACCTGGACCTTATGTTCAGGCTGGGTACGGTAGTTCAGGTGCTCAGGGTACCTCTTTCCATCCTGAGGCTTCCATGTTCGACGATAGTCACCTCATGATGAGGTGAGATGATGTCTCCTGCGGTCTAGCCATACCTTGAAGCAGCAAGGAGTGCTGGCGGATGCGGAGAAGATGAAGCCGTGTACAGACGAGGATTGATCATGAGATCCGTCGATGAGCTGGTGCATCGTTTGCAGCGATAGCGGATCCGGCGTGATGCGAAGTAAACATGGACGCAGGAGGCAGGCGCAGACAGGACGAGATAGATAATAAGTAAGCACATACAGGTATTGAATCCTACATTGAAATACTCATGTATCTCCCTAAGCGAAGCTTCGATTCGAACATGGGCGGCATTTGGCTCCGAAGCGAAGAGGGAGAAAGGGTCCGCCCTCACCCTGGCGTTGGCGAGTGTTGGTCACCGCGGAGGGTACAACAAAGCCTCGCAACGTACGAGCTTGTCCTACATTGGTTGATACTGCAGCCGGCAGTTACGCGGAGAGCATTTCCGATGCAATCACGAATCCTTTGGTGATACTCTGACTCGGACGCGCATGACCACACAAGGGCGGAACTCCTCTTGGAGCCTCATTCAGTCCTTAATTGCTTGCTAGTGACGTATTTGCTACCAGATACATAGTATCGCCATGGATGCGAGTAATTCGAAAGACAGCTAAAGACGCAGGGGCGGCGCATTCGCCCGTGGAAGCATAGTGGTGATAGGGAGGAAGCGCGTCGCACAAGTCCTGGACAGCTGTTCCAGCTCGAACTCCGTTCTTCGGAGTATCTTCAATTGCAATGCGAAAAGCCAGCATATGATGTGCGCGACGATTATTCTGGTAGAAGAATTAGACAGGTGAATGTTGGTGCCTCAGTCTCGCATTGCCGATCGCGGCACTGTCTTTGCACAGCGCCTCGTACGCACAGAAGCTGTTCCAATTGTGCCGACGCAGTGATTGCTGCCCAAAACAGAGCGCACGTATCGCCGTGTTCGTGACGCTACTCTTGCACTCCTAATGCCCAAGTTTGGCAGGACAAAAAGTCTTGCAAGCGTGGTGGGTATGGTGCGTCGGCCCACCCAGAGGATCGCACGGCATGCGGCATGCGGCAGCTACGGCAGTGAGTAATTGTGGACTTGCAAGCGGAGTGACGCAGATGCAGGTAGGGTCATCAGAGCTCGACCGTGAACCTGTTGCTGTTGGTCTCGTCCGCAAGAGACCATGAGGCAGACACAGCGCAGAGTGAAAATCGTGACCTGCTGCCTAGTCCCGCCTGCTCGTGCCATTGGGTGAGAGACCCTCTGCCGGAGTTCGCCCGCCATTCCACGGACGTGCGCGGTCACATGACCTTAGCGCGCCAAGGTGCTAGCGCACAGCTTGCCAGTATATAATCTCGCGGCCCCTCGTCCTCCTTTCTCTTCTGCATCCAAGTGCTCGGGCTTTACGCTTACCAGTGAGGATTCGTCCGAGGTAGCGTTTTTGCTAGTTGAAAACTACAACTATGACCGCTCCAGTTGGTCTTCGGATCGGCTGGGAATTTTTGACACCCATTGCTAGCTTTGCGCTGCTTTTCGTTGATCTTTGCGGCTTGCCGCTTAATCGAAGAAGAGTTTGTCAGCGCCTTAACTATGACTGTCGCGACTTCCTTTTCTACATGACCACCTGCCTGCTCTGCCACCGCATGTCGCCTTCATCTACCTGTTAGCACTACGACCGAGTCGTGCGCCTTCTCTGCAACCTCACCAGTAGCGCACTCTTACCCATCGCAAATGCAGCGCCATCTTCAACACCACAAGTCCTCGAGTCCAACGCTCTTTCCGCCCCGCCATAGTTCGCCGCTTTCCGCACGTCGCAAGCGCTCGCAGCTCGTCGCCTATGAAGAGGTTGGCCGCTTCCCATTCACGAGCGAGCTTCCTGCTGCCTACTATCACAATTGTGCGACACGCTTCACACCTCACGGAGTGTTTTCTCGTACCCAGACGGTCTATACGATGAAGGCGATGAAGAGCGTAGATCAGCGTTGTCTAGGACGATGCAGTCCACGGGTGCCTACTGTCGGTATGTGATCGGCTTTGCTTTCGCTTCGCGCTTGGTGCCGAAAAGTATAAATCACGCGTCGCGTCCACCGATGCTACCACATGACGATCTCCCAGACGGCTCTCCACCATGTCCCCTGGACCCCCGCGTAAAGCACCGAGCTCCCCTTGGATCTACTTGGTAGATCCATGCCGTGCGCGTTGGATCGCCGACAACATTGTCCCCATTCAAGTCACTATGCTTTCCACCAAGTCGCATGAGGCGCGTCAACGTTGCTTTCGTTCTCAGGCAAAAATTCTTCTTGGCTCCTGCGACAGCTCCCTTTCGGTCATGCATGAAATCTATGCAGACGATTTCGACATGGATGAATTTGTCGCTGATTCCAAAGACAGCGTTTGACAGGACTAAGGGAAAAGGCGACTCCGGCAGATCAAACCAATAACGGTCATCCTCGAAACAACAAGACCAGCGGCGCTTTTCAATGTGACAACTGTCGATAATTGCATGACTGGTCTAAACCCTCGGCAACGCTGTCCTAAGGAAACTTCATTGGCACCATTCCAGCCGTCCGACCGCCTGCAGAGAGATAGCGCACAAACTTTAAGGCCGACCGTGGCTATAGACGAGGCTGGAGCTTCGTAGGTTGCTTCATCACAAGGAGATCTGGCTCTGCATTCGCTTACAAGTCTGGTCACATCAATATTGGCATTCTTCTCGCTCAACGTATTCTGAGTCATAAGCGTCAGAACCGACACGCTATTGTCACAAGATGCAGAGAAGGTTGTAAACGAACAGAGTGCGCAATCCGACCCAACCTGCGTCTGAGGCCGGCATGTACCGAACCCTACACCACGTGTGACTCGGACGTGAAATCGAGCAACCGGGGATCAGCCGCGGTCGCTCCCTAGTCGAAGAGCAGGACGAGATCTCGACTTCGGCCGTTAGCGGCATGGTGCGGGCCTCATCGGTGTGCCAAAATAAGGTTAGCCTCCTATCGATCAACTCTGTTGTCATCAAATCTACCAAGATTGTGTGAGAAAGCCGCCAATTGCCTGGAGAAAATGTTATATGGTGGAGAGCACGCCGCTGGTCTTAGGTCCGTTTCAGACCCGTAAGATAGTCCCCAAGGTTTCGGTGCACGGTCTGCGTTCGGCTAGATCTGCAGCAGGGTCATTAGTCTTGCGCCATACCATCCGAGCTGCTACACTTCGAGCACACAACATGCAGGTACGCGGGCTTGGTGGGCCAACCACAGCCCCTCACGCAATGTTCGCGCGCGACAGACTCATCCACCACACGCCACATGACATTGTCACAGCGGTTCGACAGTGTACAGACAGCCTTTCCAAACAAAACAGAACTGTCAAAGCGGCATCTAGTTATTGACATGCGACATCAACAGTTCCGCTGCGCCATGGCCTCAGCCATGCAACCTTAAAGCTAACCTAACACGTCGACTTGTTAACCGTGGCTGCCACGAGTTGGCCCTAAGGGTATAGTTGCGACATTATACCCCCTTCCTCGACTATTTCTGCCTTTTTGCTACCAAACCTGGAGCCTCGCCAGTCGCCACAAGGCAGCATTAGGTCAGTGCACCAAGCGATCTGCGGACCGTGACTATCGTACGTATGAGACGGTCGTTTTTGCAGGAACGTGCCCATGGTGTGGAGAGTCTTGTCGATATTGGTCCCCTTCGCGCTTCCAAATGCAGCATGAACGTCGCGAACCTGCGTCTCACTCAAGTCCCGGGGGTCATTGTCGTCCGACTTTCCTTACCAATGAGCGCTTTTCCTTCTTGAAATACACCGAGCCATCTTTCTAGCATTGGCTGTTGTTCGACTTCGTGCTGCGGTACCGACCTCGCACCGCATCTCCTATCCCGATCCGCTTTTGAACATCCCAATCACCACCTTCTCCGGATCAGCCATTATGAGTGCTTGAACCATGCGCATTTTCGCAGGTCTACTACTCCGAGTCCCTCAGATTTCCTGTTCTACGTACTCGTCTTTCTAATAACACTGTCAATATGGATACGAGTAGCATCACGCCCGCTGGCACCCGGGTTAATATCATTGTACTTGCTTTCACACTTGTTTCTGGCTTGGTGGTGTTTCTACGACTTTTTACGCGACTGGTAATATCCAGGGGAGCTGGACCTGAAGATGCATGCATCGTTTTTGCTATGGTAAGTGAAGCTGGTTGCGCAGCGTGCATCTTTTGCTGACGACTCATAGGTTCTTTCCATCGCACTTGCTGTGCTGACGGCGGAGCAAGTGATGAATGGCCTTGGAGAGCACGGTGCGCGAATTGAAGACGACAAGCTAGATAGACTGGAAATTGTAAGTGCAGAAAAATCATCATTCTCCGACGGTATACTTGGATATCCCGGCTCATGTGTTATGAGGTGCCTGATGAGGTGCCTGACTGCAGCACGTCTTACGGTCGTCACGACATTGAGTGATGCAGATGCGTCACCTATATGCACCGAGGGGCTTCTACCTTTCATCGCTTATCTGTATTGCGACTAACAATCACACAGTCATTCTGGGCGAGCGTCTGGGTCTACAACCTCACACTCACTGTGACAAAGATATCCATTCTTGTACAGTATCTCCGTATCTTTCCTGTGCGAAACTTCCGCATAGCGTGCTTCGCTGTCTTGGGTGTTGTCGTAGCCTACGGCGGCTGGTCGACTTTCTCGAGCGTCTTTATCTGCAGCCCCGTCGCTTTTGCATGGGACAAATCCATCGGGAACGGACGCTGCATGAACCAACTTGTCATATGGGTTACGAATGCTGGTGTCAACATTGCGCAAGACGTAGTCATCTTCCTCATGCCATTGTCTATCGTCCGGGCCCTTCAAATACCCAAATCACAAAAGGAAGGCTTAGTGGGCATGTTCGTGCTGGGCGCAAGGTAGGGCAACTCAGGCAGTTTCGGGTATCACCAATGCTAACGGATCAACAGCGGTACCATGGTCTCTATCATCCGACTGTATACCTTGGACGACATCGCCAACTCGACCGACGTCTCGTTCGACAACAAAGATCACGCGACACTATCTGCGGTGGAGGTGAATGTTGGAATCATTTGTGCATGTCTACCAGCTATGCGACCGCTCTTCGCTCTGATAGCACCGCATTACTTCTCGACAGCGGCACAATACACGGACCAGCGAGCCTTCGATATCGAGCGCCAAAAGCCTGGAGCTGGCCCACGGGCGAGCGTCCGGCCTGGTACCGCAGCTACGAGGACCAGACCCAACACAGCACGAACGACCATGACTCGTCCGCCCACCGCCACTGCGAGAACGGCACCAGACACGTCTAGGAATACTATCATCCGGCCCAGTACTGCCACCACATTGACGAGACCCAGCACGCGGTCATCGTCGCGGCCAAACACCTCACAGGCCATGAAGCTTGAGACATACACTCCGCCGCGGGCAGATTCGGTCCAAAGCGACATGATGCCCCTTCAGCCACTCCCAGCAACGCTCTCTCGGACCGCAAGCGGCCGTTTCTCCATTACAAACAGCCGCCCGACCACAATCCGCATGCACAGCTACAACAACCATTCTCGCAACGCAAGCAGTAGTTCTGGACGAAGCACACAGAGCACACCACGAGGACGGTCTGCTACCCGTTTCCAAGGAAGCATTGATCCTCTCCGCATGTCGCCTGTCACACCTTTTAGCCCACCCTTCCCCGCCCCTCTACGAACCGTTTCACCGTTGGCACTGGGTCCTAGTGCCCGGCAATCAAGCAGTCAGCGGACGCCATCGCCACTACCACCACGGACGCCTGTGCCGGGACAAGATAAACAGTTACCTCTTACGCCTTTTCCCGTTGGATCCGCAGACTGAACGGGACTCTAGATGATCCTTCCGCCTGTCAGAACAACCTACGATTCATCACACCTAAACAACACGCTCGTTATCCAAACATGACGCCACAGAACATGTCCTTATATTATCTAATGCTACGATGAAGATACGACTCATGTCGCTCTTACGACCCGAAGCAGGCTTACTTCAGCCCCGCCAATGCAGCGGCTCCAACATCGGCAACATCCGAGTCGCTTTTGACTACGACATGTCATCGCCACACTCGTTACACCACCACATCACCGATGACAACCACGATGGCCGCACACGTGCTGAGGCCATGTCATTGGAGAGACACAACGTCCGCCTCGGGCGCGGGTAATAGCCCCGTCAACACCGCGCCGACAAAGGATCCGGGCCCCTTACTTAATGTACCCCTGCTACACACCACGCTGGACGACATCTTGAAACGACACTTTGTCCTGTTTCCACGCGTGCATCCTAAGCATCGCATCTTTTACTACAAGTTCGCTTTAGACTTGTTATCTTGCATTTTCACATCAGCCATTCCTTCTCTAGAGCATTTCTGTCATACATTCTCTCTTTTACGCCCAAAATATGTAATATGTAATCACTGGTGTCTGGATTTACCTACATTCTATTCTGCATACAATCACGACTGGTGTGAGGGAGCACGGAAGCGAACAAGGTTAGATGATAATGTAATACCCTGGTAGTAGTAGACACGACATGGATTTTCAGATCCATCAATACGCGAACACAATAATGCATGGGCTTCAATAATCAGAATATGCGGCTTGTAGATGTAGCAGAACGCTGCTCCCTGAAACGACAGTTGTGGATGCCATTCGATATCTAAACCTCAAACCAACAATACCCATCTGTACAATATACTGTGCTCCAAAACGCCAAACAGAAACGCGTCGCGCACGTGGAAGCAATCATCTGAACTTGCTGTAAATGACCGCAATGATAAGCAGCACCAAGACGGTGATGATAGCAATCGTAATGATGCGGTTCGTCGCCATCCTACACAAAGTCTCGTTAGCACTCTCTCTCGCAAGAATCAAAAGGGCATCCATCTAGACTCCACATCAACCGGAGCTTGCGTGATGAACAGAAAGAAGCGGGAAAACATACCGTCTCGCCATGCCCCTCAACGTCTTGATACTCCGATCAGTATAACTCTCACTCTCCAGCAGCCTCTCCCTCGTATTCGTAATCTGCTCCCTCTGCCTATGAAGATCGCTCAGTGTGCCAGCACCAATCTGCTCCGTCTCGAGCGCGATGCGCTGGCTCTCCCTCAGCCGGCCGCTCGACCTGTTCAGGCGATCGGTTCCTGAGAGGAGCTGCTGGCGCTGCTCGAGCTGCGCATCGCCGCCTTCGGGGTTGTCGGTGTAGCGGTCGCCGAAGAGCTTGGCCTTGTCTGTCGTGTAGGTTTCTAGCTTGCGCTTGTGCGTGTCGAGGTCGTGTTCGAAGTTGCGGAAGCGCGCGTTGTATTTCGACTTGAGGTTGGCGGGGATGTTGGACTTTTCGAGGCGCATTTGGCCGATCTGGGAGGTGAGCGGGTTAGCAGCGCGGTCTTGTACATTGTGTTGGTGTTGTGGTGGTGGTGGTGGTGCCCGTCGCATGTGCAACAGGTGTGTTTAGGCGGCGACTCACCAGCTCTTCGGCTTCTTCCAGCGCGCGCTCTGCTCTGCTGATGGCGGCTTTCCGGGGCTCCCCGCTGGTCTCTTTGATCTGCTCTATTTGCTGGCTGAGGTCGGCCTGCACCAGCTTCAACTCGGCTTCGTAGCCGCTGAAGCGCTCGGTGCCTGCATCGGCGTCGATAAGGTTGGACATGGCGGCGGTCAAGTCTGGATTGCGCAGTGTAGGCTTCGGTGTTTATGGGGGGCTGTCGTCTTTGGAGTGTGAATGGCGGCCTGGGTTGGATGTGTCTGTGAATGCAGCGTCGAGCCTGGAGTCCGGAGCTCATGAGGCGCATTACGCACTTGCCAAGGTCATCCCTGCCGTGTCACGTGTGCCACTACGCTTCTGCATCTGGGGAACCTTCAAGCGGCAAGGCCACCTAACGTCCTTTACTGCGTTCATACCATCACTCCTGCTTGCTACGATGAGAAAAACCTCCTGTCGCAGCTTGCCAGCACAACGCATTACCCAGCGCGAGCGTCGCCGATGCCGAAGTTGTGATTACGTAGGTGTTGCTTTGGCCCCTTGAGAGCCACCTGCATATCAGCCGTGTCGTATAGTTCCTGACTGTCTCATGTATTCGACATGGTAGCAATGCGAAGATGCAAAGTCAGCTCCACAATAATGCTGATAATGCCATGGGTCCTAGTCTGCGGTGTCCACAAGTGAGCGGGTCTCGAACCCATGACCAAGTGACTGTATAATGCCGCGGACCTCTTCCTGCGTTCAGAACACGCAACTGAGAGTTCACGATACCTACAATGCCTACATCTCGAGCGTGCGTACTTTCCATCGACACTAGTCATGCGCCGACTGAAACGGCATTCGCTTCAAATCGATGACATCATGACTCGCATCTTTGCAGCAGCAGCTTTCCTTTGCTCAATTTCTTTCGTCACTCTGGTGCGTCAACTCCAACCGTGTACCTGGCTGTTAGTATCCTCGCCATAATTACGCGCTAGTTGATCATGTCCGGGAAGATGGAGAAGAAGCGCATAGCTATCGTCGGCAGTGGCATATCTGGCCTGAGCGCCCTCTACGCACTTCGCAATACCCAGCATGAAGTGCATCTGTTCGAGAAAGAGGAACGTCTTGGTGGTCATACAAACACTGTGCCGTGGACACACGATGGCAAGAGCACGCCTGTTGATACGGGCTTCATCGTCCTCAACACCGCTACATATCGTTCGTCTCCTACCAAAATCACATGTCTGCATAGGTTTATGTCTAACGAAGGCCCAGCAAACTTCATCAAATTCCTCTCAGCATTGCGTGTCAAGACCGTCGCCTCGGAGATGACCTTTGGCATATCTCGCGATGCTGGCGCTTTTGAATGGTCGGGCACGTCGGGCAGCTCACTCTTCGCGCAACCTTCCAATGCGCTCAAGCTCTCCTTCTGGCGCATGATATTCGACATTATCCGCTTCAATCAATTTGCTCTGGATCTTCTAGCTATCCCACCAGGTTCACCCGCAGCTGTCGCCGCTACGGAAATGAGCATCGGCGAGTATCTCGAAAGAGAGGGGTATTCAGATGCGTTCAGAGATGACTACCTCATCCCAATGACAGCGTGCGTATGGAGTACGGGCGCGGATAAATGCGCTTTGGAGTTTCCGGCATTGACTTTGGTACGATTCATGTGGAACCACCACCTACTTAGTACCATAGCAGAGAGACCACCTTGGTTGACTGTTGAAGGAGGATCTAGCAAGTACATAGATGCAGTCCTGGATCTGGCTGGCAACTGTGAGGGCCACCTTGGGACGCCGGTTCTGGCGGCAACAAGAAAAGGTGGTAAAGTCGAATTAAGGCTGGGTGGAAGGGGAGAAGGTCAGACAGAGGCTTTTGACGAAGTAGTACTTGCTTGTCATGGAGACCAGGCGAGGTGGATGTTAGGCGACGAGGCGACAGCGACAGAAAAGGAAATCCTGGACGCATTCGAAACCACACCAAACACAGCATACCTGCATTCTGATCTTTCAGTGAGTCTTGAATGCTTTGAATATACTCGACTATTACTAACAATACCCAGCTCATGCCTCAACGACGCACAGCATGGTCCGCCTGGAACTACCTCACCACCTCCAAGCAGAGAACACCATCATCGGCAAACCTGACTACTTCTTCTGGCGCCCTCCAGACCGTCTGCCTAACCTACGACATGAACACTTTGCAGCACATCCCGCGTGACGTTTACAAGAATGTCCTCGTCACTCTCAACCCACCACATCCTCCCTCTCCTGCCCTCACACAGGCAACATACCAATACCGACATCCACTTTACAACTCGCGCATGGTATTTGCGCAAGACCGTCTCCACGAGATCCAAGGAAAGCAAGGCATTTGGTACGCAGGCGCATGGACAGGGTACGGTTTCCATGAAGACGGATGCCGGAGTGGATTGCAGGTAGGAGAAGCTTTGGGTGGTGATGCCGGATGGGAAGTAATAGATGCCAAATTCATGAGGGGAAGGAAACCAGTCCTGGAGTGGAAAGATCAGGTCGTAAGAATCGTCATCATGTTGGTGCAGATGTGGGTCAGAATATTGGAAGGATTCGCGGGTGTGAAGAGACAAAAGGGTATGGCATTGAAGGCAAATGGGAAGAAGCAGCTGTAGCCCTGGTACCAACCAAACCCCTTAACGTAGTAATCTCTCCTCTTCTCGGTCTACTGCTCAACCTTATCTATCATCACCCACCTAACTCCCATGTCCTACCCACTAGCGACGGCGTAGCACAAGCTTCCTCGGCTCAGGCGTCAGCAAACCATCAGGCGCATCTGACAGATCCTCCGACAGCGGACTGGTGAAGCGAGCTTGGTACTCAGCGGTAGTATCTCGCTTGCGCTTCTTCTGGGGACTGAGGTCAAAAGTGACAGTCTTCTTGCGCTTTTGGCTGGTACCCATGCTCCTCGCCGGCCGCAACGGAGTGGTGAAAGCGATATCCTGCTCAGGAGTGACTTCGCGCAGCATCGGCTCGGGCGAACTCGGTGGGATCCAGACATAGCCGATTGGGAGGCCACCCCTGAGCTCCGCGTAGTGCACAAGCGGAGGGTTGAACTCGAGTTTGACCTCTTCAGGTGTGGATGTAGGCGCCTCGCTCAGGTCAAAGTAGGCGGGAACGTGGTAGGGATCGTCCTCCGTAGGCTCCAGGGGGGTGTCGTCCTGGGCCGAAGGACAGATCTCGAAGGTCTTGTAGTCGCCAACTGGTAGGTTGACGTAGCCGGCGTACGCCGTGAACTTGGTGACGACCTCCCCGGGGGTGGGATGGTAGTTGATCTTGTCGTTATTTGGGCGCTTGTAGCTGCCCTGGTTGGTCATGTTGAAGGAATTCGCGAGCGATTCCTGGATATAGTTGTTAGTATGGTGTGCTGGACAATATCCGCAGAGATTGTGTGAGGATGAGGTTGAGCAAGAGAATCTTTCCATGCGAAAAGTTTTCTCATGGCTTCAGGTCTCATGAGTGGTGATGGTGATAGTTGAAGCATGCTGCTTGTGTCTTCGAATCCGTGAAGTGAAGGTGAAAGACATACCTATCAACCCAGACCCGTCATCGTAGCCTTACATTGAACGCTCACTGCCTGCTGAGTTCCTCCTGACATGGCCTGGTCGCCACATAATCTGCTCTTGCCATTCTGTCGAGGCACTGTGACCACTTCGAGTGATGGATGATGTTCGTGCCCGAGTCTTCGCATCGATATGTCTTTTGATATCGTTATCCCATCTGAGATACTGCTGAAAAGCAGTGATGACGTGAGGCGACATGATAGGCATTGGTGCTGTGTTCGACAGATAACTATACGTGGTGTATACGGCGAGGAAAGGGAATGGTATACGGCACTCTCAAAGAGGGAACTACGGACTATATGCTACAAAGACGCGGCTCCGGGTCCACGATCCACTCCAGACAGCACACCGCTATGGGGTAGACAACACCAAGCGGTCTAGCAAAGGGAATTACATCCAAGTCTAGCCTTGTCAACAGCCTCAACGATCGCGCACGCATGATAAGAGTCATTCCACGGAACCAGCTCTGCGCGTGGAGCACACGCTGCAGACCAAATGTGAGACATAAGCGTTTGCATCCTACGTGCAGCATCTTGGACAATACAGAACAATGATTGGTGCGTTCCTGCACCTAGATCTCCATTACTGCGGGTTTGCACGTGAAGCGAACGATCGTGATGGGAAATGAGGCTCAAGCGGTGAGTTTGATGGTTGAGCTGACACGTGTCGGCGAAGTGACTATACCGCTTTGGGACGCGCGCGACAGGCATTGTGGCGCGAGGCTTGCTATCGCGCACCTGTCACCTACCATCCCGCAACAAACTTGGTTCAGGGGCGTCGTCGTTGTACTTGTCACCCACGCTGTCTGTGGGGGTATCCGCGGCCGTATACCTTCCGCGTAATGCGCGACACGCCCTCTGCACTGCGCCCACGGACGCCTCACGCGCCGATCGAGTTCTAAAACTCTGCGCCAGGTCCCCATAGCTAACCTTTCAGTCACACAACGCGTGTATTTGGTGGTGCTCTTGCTCAACAGCAGCAGCCTCTATCAGAAAAACGAAGGTCTACACATTGCATGGCCATTTGGCTGGTGCCCCGCATACCAATATACCTGATGGCACGGCCTGTGGGGTCAATCCGGCTATGCGGAGCTCGCTCTCATCACAAGCCACAGATGGCTACATTCAAGACCTTCGGATGCTTTCGAGATGCGAGCCGAATTGAGCTTCGACCTTTTCATCACCCAGGATGTGCCATTATCCTCTTCCACTTTGTATGTCGCTCCGTACGTCAGAGCGGGTGGACTTCTCACGTATGGATGATCACCGAACAAGTCCATACTTAAAACCGTCGAATAGCAACAAGCTGAACAATCAGTGAGCTTCGTGCATCATGATCGACTTCCAGCAGAAGGGGCCTAGAGATTGGCTGTAATGTGTTTGACAGAACCCATATGAACAATAACCCACCCAACCCGGCACTTGTTCTGCTCAACAGACACGTTCAGCAGTCACTCACATGTCAGGTGGGGTAATGTATCTTCCAGGCCAGACATTGACGGATTCCTACTGCCTTATCGACCTAGAGCCTACTGCGATTGCTGCGATGGGTTGCGATGGGGGCTGTGAGCTGCGTCATTCGGCACATGCATGTCTGTCTCGAAGAGTTCCCATCCAGCGATATATAAGTGGGAGTACTTCAGTCCGTAACAAGCCCATCGTTCCATCGTCGCGCTGTATTCACATCAAGTCAGCTCAAGATGTTCTGGAACTTCCTCGCCGGCCTGGTGCTCGTTGCTCCGACCCAGGCTCTTATTCGATTCGGATGCTCGCAGCTCGTCGTAGATCGCCTTGACCCCTTGGTCGAACCAGGCAATGCTCCATCATCGCATCTCCACCAGATCATCGGAGGAAACTCATTTGTCCCTGATATGAGCCCTGATGTTCACGATCCACCTGCGATGTCCACATGCACAACCTGCCAGCCTGCAGATGACTTCTCCAACTACTGGACGGCTTCTCTTTACTTTCGCGCAAGAAATGGTACCTATAAGCGTGTCAGTCAGAAAGGCAATGCGGGGTTTGAGGGACAAAACGGCGGTATGGTAAGTAGTGAAGGACAAGTTGCCTAGAGAAATACACTGACCATCCACCTCTGAAGACTGTTTACTACATGCAAAACCAGCTTGCAGACTACCAGCAGAAGGCGAAGGTCAAGGCATTCCAGCCGGGCTTTCGTATGCTCATCGGCTCACCAATCGCGTCTACAAAAGCAGAGGCGGATAGGTATCCGCAACTCACATATACATGTCTACAAGACCCCAGCACACGCTTTCCAGAGACCAAAGCGTTCCCCACAAAACCCTGCCCGGCAGGCATCATGGTCAATTTGAGGTTCCCGACGTGAGTAGTGACGCCGAGTTCGATGTCGGACAGATATTGATCAAAACAGATGTTGGAACGGTGAAGATCTAGACTCGCCAGACCACATGGCTCATATGGTATGATTCCTACGCTCGTCGAAGACCATACCCTCTGACGCATCATAGGCCTACCCTATATCAGGTACTTTCGAGAGCCAAGGTCCCTGCCCAGCCTCCCATCCCGTGCGCATGCCGCAACTCATGTACGAAGTAATTTACGAAACCGCACCCTTCAACGACCCTTCTCTCTGGCCCACAGACGGCAGCCAGCCCTTCGTATACTCGTTCGACGACCACACCGGGTACGGTAACCACGGCGACTACATCTTCGGCTGGAAAGACGACTCGCTTCAAAAGATCATGGACGAGGAATGCTACGTCAGCTGCTCATCGATGAAAACACAGAGCATGGACATGATGAACAGTTGCAGCGTGCCGCGAAAGGTCATTGAGGACATCGGTGATCAAAGCTGGATCCCCGCGCTTCCGGGGCATTCGAACGCTACGTGGACGGTTGCTTCCACGGGTAAAGCGTTCCGTGCGTAGATCGCATATTTCTCTTTGCCTCTGCTCTGCTTTTGGCAACAACGCAGAGAAGGATGGATGGCTGGGAGCTTTGACGCTTGTTCACATGATCACGCGTCAGTGTTGTTCTTTTTTGGGACCTTGTTGCTTCGGCCTCGTAGATCTTGTAGATCTGATGTACGGGGTAGCTTACCGCTATATGCATCTCCGGTGCTTTTCTTCGCGTGTTCGTACCTGATGCGCCTCTCCCGCAGAGCCCCACTCACACCTGCTTTGATCGGTGAGACCCCACACACCCACTTTCTAACGTGCAGTAGTCACCGATGTTTACCGATTAATTTATCTGATCTAGTAGATCACGTCACGTTTTTGTGACTGCAATATAGACGGTTGCAAGATCTTCAGGAGTTGCAAGTATGGGAGGAAGCCATAGTGCAGTTCATTACCTCGACGTGCTACTCTACCCGCTAGATCGCCCATCCAATTCAAGTCCTTGATATCCATCAAAAGCAGCATAACGCAGTTCTTCCCTACTAGATGGAATTCTTGGAACTCGCTACTTCACATTCAGCCACCACACTACCACATCATGACTTGCAATACACATACACTGTCTTCTAGCAGTTGTGGGGGTAAGGTAAGTCAGTCATAATGTTCACAAAGCGTGTGCTCCCTTTCCAGCGTCAGGTGTCAAGGTCATTAGCCATGGCGGTGGCACTGAAGACGACGACAAGGATAAGGACTTGTATGAAAGGTCTTGTGAGCTGCGGTACGGCTAGAATGGTGAGTACAGAGGGTGAAGGTGGAGATGGTTACTGACTGGCTGTTTGTCGTATCTGCTAGTGCGTCTTAGCGCAAGAGGATGGAAGAAGGGAAGATTTGCAGGAAGATGGTCAGAAAAGGTAATGCATGCATCACGTTGTGATCACAGTATGATCCCCATCGCTTGGACAATCCAATGAAAGGTTTGTCAAAGCATTTATTCGCAATGTAGAGGACTGAACAATGCCACCCTTCCATCGACTGTGATTTTAGAAGTCAGCTTCTTGACTGTACAGGTATGTAAACCGCTTGTACCAAGGTCGCGTACCGAATAATTCCAAGTCTAACCATAATAGCTCTTCTCAGTCAATGACCCCTCTGCTTCGAGCTTTCGGCACACACGTACTAACTCAGGAACGCCCTCTCTTGCTGCATTGCGGAGGATATCTGAATGAACTTGTGTTTCTCTGTGTCCCTAATCAACATTTGTTTCACTGTCTCCCTAGACAGCAGCTCTTGTTGCCTCCGACCAGATACCTCCGGAGTCTTGTGCGCCAAAAAGTCCGGGTAAAGTGGGTGGAGGCGGCGAGAAGACCATGGTTTGAGCGTATGGTCTGTGGCCGGGCCCGCGGAAGGGTGGGTCGGCTCGACGGTCGAACAACGGTGTACGAGTCCGCGTCCAGTCTGGCTGAGTTTCTTGATCGTACTGTGGACCTAGCGGAGGAAACTGCGAAGAGGGTTGAGCGAGCTCAGGCAGGGTAATATGCTCTTCTTGCATGGTATCGTGGCTCGGGGTTACTGGATTATCGCGCTGATCCGGCTTGCGGGGAAGCCTCACAGTGGGCATCTTCGATTCAGGTACTGGCGTATTGTCCATGAAGCCACCGTGCGGATTTACCAACGTGAATTTCTCTCTTATAAGACGCGCTTCCACCTCCCAGAAGTTGTCCGACATGTTGACTAGCACCACCCGAAACTCGCTGACTACTAATTCGCGAGTGGCCATGTATCCATTACTCGGACGCTGTTGATATATCATAATCGATCCCGACTGCTCGAGGTCGATCCGGTTGAAGTATCGACCGCTTTGTCCCCTGCGATAGAAGTCGTTCAGTGCGAGCTGGAAAAGTCTGAGGGCCGTGGCCTGAGCGTTGGCGAAGGTATGATAAGTGCCGATATGATGTACGCTAGCGGGAGTATTGGGAGAGATGGGAGTAATAGAGCTCCTGTTGAAACGAACGACTATGAAGCCCAACTTTGGATCTTGCCGGAGCAAGTGGCCATCGTCGGGTCCCATGGCAGCGATCTGTATGAGGAAGTAATGCTGAACCTCGCACCGAGAAATGGCGGGATGGATATGCGCGGAAAGATTGAGATGCAAGTGAAGTGTTGGGCGTCAACATGCTGTCTTGGTAGTTCAGGAAGGTCTTGCGCCAAACATCACGAAAGACCGGATGACTCTGGAAGTCGCAGTCGCCATGGATTCGCGGTTGCTCATGCAACTGCGTGGCACGACGACGACAGAACGTGGAAGTGGTGGGACGGCGTTCAATGACATGGGAAAGATCGAGGACAGTGGTGAAGGGGGAAATTGAGAGAAGCGGAGGTAAGATGAATGGCCAGCAGACCACATGCCCGTTAGTATGAAGATGAGGTGATGCCATGTTGCGTGTTGTCGTATACGTACGACGGCGCAATGTGGCAGGTGTCACCAACTCGTCCTTCCATATAAGCTGACTGGGACGCTCATCGCGACTGCCTCGAGCACTCACCGCCAACACCACCTGCGCCAAGCCAAGGGATGGGATATTCACTTTGACAGCATGACCGCAAGAACTCAAATCGCAGCCGATAGTTATGCCACCACCTAGTCAGACGCGACCCGACTACCCACGTATCCAATGTATTGATCCCGCCCACCAGCAACGCCACCTGGACAGACGGATGACATCCCACACATGTTGGTCAGCTCTACAGCACATGAGTTGCCTCGCTCAACCCACATTCACGGCAGGCTCTGCAGCACCGGCCACGTAGCGACCAGGCCTTGTAGTTGCCTAGGTGCTCGGCTGTGGTCGAAAAAAAAAGTTAAAGATCACAATTGCGCACGGGACGGAGATGAGGGCATGGTATTTTGCAAAGACGGGAGAGCATTATGCGCATTTCTCATGAGCCGCGCAGCGCACCAATGAGGTCACCCAGACTCATAATTTGAAGGCGTCGCGCTACATCCCAGGCCACGCGAGCATGCGAGTTTTCCCCTGAGCCTCCCGCTGTCGTCGCGTCCACATGCCCACCCTTTTCGGTTGTTGGTGACCTGAAACGCTCGGTCCTGCGAAGTAGAACACCCTTCCAGGAAGATGCTGTTGGGTGACGTCTACGGGAAACCGGAGAGCGGGAGATGGACAGTTGCACGTGGTGCTTCCTGGCGAAGAATCGAATAGTTCAGGTACACGGAATCGTGGCTTGGATGCATCTTATCGGTACGACCAGGCGCACTCCAGATCCAGGGCTTCGGAAGCAATCGCAACAACGTTACACGGGAAGAAGAAAAGAAGAACTCCCAGCAACACATCCCGTTTGCAAATCGACTGCGCAGGGTCCAATGCGACGAGACGGACGCCACACGTATCCCCAATGACGCCAAATTTCCCAGTCTGAGGGTTGAGTCCAATCGGCGGGGCCAAAGCGCATGCCACTAGAAGAAGTCTCGATGTTAGCATCAAAGTCCCACTGATCGGGGAGCTGCTAGGCTGGGCGGCTTGGTAACATGCGCTGGCCAAACGCAGAGGATGTTGCGCGCATTCTCATAAGATTTGGTCGAGCACTGCGAAAGTTTGCGGTGGCAACTATCGTATGCTGCGCACAGAAATGTGATGAGCGATCACGTCTCACAACGCCCGTTGGGGAAACATAAGAGTGCGCGAACCCGCTTTTGGCAATGCCGGGTTGCGACTCAGTCAGTCAGCCTCAGACTTGTCAAGTTTGTCGACTACCAGAGTTTCGGCGACTCTAGCTTCTAGCGCTACATCTGTACCGTTGTACGGCGCGTATAAAGCGTTTGAGCTAGCAGCCCAGCTCCAGCGCACATTCGTCCCAAGAACGAGGTATTCTGCAGAAGGTTTCGGTGTTTGCACGCTTGCTGGTAGGCACATGATCGATCATCCATCAGCGGGGACAAGATTTGACTTTCGGTCGTGCTGAGACTCTGGTGTTGATATGGCAAGTACACCGTGTAAGAACTCACGCAGCATATCGTGTCCGCGACTCATCTTTGGCCTCGACGGATGTCGTCGGAATAGGCCCTTCCTATTTGTTCATCCGCGGAAACTCCGCAGTCTATACATAGGGGTTGAGTTCAACTGTGAAGACCCTGCACACGACCTATTCGGCCGAGTAATAGCCATTCGTCGTTATCAGGCTGGCTGACACGGAATGAGTCCGATGAGTCCGGACTTCCAAATTCCAGGGACCTGGCAATGGTGGCGCTTTCCCCATCTTGGCTCGCACTCGAAGATGTCGTAGGCGGCATATCTGCTTTTGCCGTTGCTGCATACTAGATGGGCCGTAGCCTGGGCGCCATCAGCTCTTCTTTTGCCTTACCCACCAGTTCGACGTTATCATACTGACTCGCAAGCCACAAGACTACTCCCAGTGGTGAGGGCATGGAGCAAAGCTTTTGGGGAGGAGATGTTTGAGAAGGTCCAGGCTTAAGCGATGGTTGCAAAGTTTGGTACGCATGGTGACGACGGAGGCCGGGCGCGCGCATCCTGACCGCCCATCAGGACGCTGACGGCCGCTGATTGGACTATTGGCGTTCATCTGCTCGCTGGCATTATGCATGCAGCGTCGATCGCGTACAATTATGAAATTTGTGGCTGTCTAAAACAACAATGTGGCTGTCTGAGAGGACGTCACTCTTGCAGCTTCTCGAAGCAGCTTCTTGACCGTCGCTCGCTTCGGTTCTCCGCCCGCACTTGCGAGCGTTAAGCTTGAGATGCCTCGCATCGCTGAAACACCAAGGCAATCTGACAACGCAGGCGTGTCGAGTCCTCATTTCCCAACGGCTGCACCGCAATGTGACATTTGACCGTCGGCGCCACGCTGTCTCGTAGAAAGCCAAAAAGCCGGCAAACAGGGCAGAGATTTGCAATTGTGAAGGGAGCTTAGCCGGGTCCAGACGATCGACACGGGTTCTGCCCAGATTGCCGACTCCTCATGGCGCGTGGGCCTAGTGCACATCTTGATGTCCCGGCATGCTAGCGTCTACCGTCCGTCACGATGCCGTCTACTGTACGGCCGCGGTGGGGCGCACCTACTTGTCGGCGACCTCGAGGATCCCATGTGCGACCAGGCGTTGACGTCCCCACGCTACAGCTGGCTCATTTGGGAAAATGCCCGCAGACGGCAGGAAGCTGTGAAGGTGGAGAGCCATGTGCCTGCCACGAATAGGGACCGCTTTCTGGAAGACCTGGTGGGAATACGGCCATGCCGAGCAGGCGGGTATAAACACCGCTGCTCGACCGTGACTTTGCTTTCTTTACTTTACCTCGCCAGAGGCCACGCGCAAACTTCCTCTACCTCCATCCCAAGCTTTGCTCGCCCTCACTAGTCAGATCCACGCTACCACCCTGCCCTGCGGCAATCGGTCTCAGCGCTCGACTACTGGACGACTACGCAAGTAGCTTTCTTCCAGATCTTCTGCTAGCTCAGTCTCACTACTCCACTCGCCCCATCGGCCGAGTAGGTATATAGCATTCCATCTCCACGCGCGGCACGGTGCGTGTGAACGGTTGCTCCTGCCATCTCACCAATTGACCACGTGCTGTCGCCACCCCGCAACACCACGTTCCTTCCGCGATCAGATTCGACCCCGGATCCTGCCCAATATGGTCTACTCACTATCTTATCGCCGTCCAGAGCGAGCTCCTCGTCCCAGCACTGCCTCTTCCACCAACACCGAAGACAAGCGAAAGTCGATCAATGCATCCATCAAGTCTGGCAGCAGCGGCATGTCCCACGGTATTCCCGAGGCCTTGTCCTTTGACACCATCATCGCTGGCGGCGCTTGCCCTGTACGTTGCCACTTCCATGAGCATCACCTTTCCAAGTACCTTTGCTGACACTTCCCAGCCCTGCACTGTCCGCGACTTCATGAACTTCCTCAAGTACATCGAACTGTCGGCTGAGAACTTGCAATTCTTCCTCTGGTACCGTGACTACGTCAAGCGCTTCAATGCGTTGCCGGAAAGCGAGAGGGTTCTGTCTCCCGAGTGGACTGGCGAAAAGAACCCCGAAGCCAGGCCCGGCACCGTCAGCTACAATGCCGACGCTGCAGCCATGCTCAAGGGCACCGACTTCGCCAACGAGGGCAAGGTCGCTGATTCGGAGAAGGGTAGCAACAACCCCTTCTTCACGCCTCCTCGCACGCCAACCAGCGTCGAACCCAGGCGCGACTACTCCCTTGACTCGTACGATGATAGCATGACTACCGGCAAAGTTGACCACACTCAACGTGCTGCTGGTGCGTTTGATAACGCAGGACTAAAGTGGAAACCACGTGAGTATTACCTTTGCTAATTTTCTTTCTTCGCCTCTAGGGTCCAATCGCTCATCCACCACAGTATCCGTCCAGCCTTACCGGGAAGAGATCAACCGCATCATCTCCATCTACATTGCCGACAATGGTTCGCGACAGCTCAACCTCTCGTCGAAAGAGCGCACAGCACTGCTGCACGCTCTGCAAAATACGACCCATCCGTCGGCATTTACCGACATCATCACCACCGTCGAGTGGTCGCTCCGTTGCCAAGCGCACCCCAACTTTGTTCGGTGGACCATATGCAATGGCAACCGTCCGCGTGTGATCTTCGCCCGCGGCCTCGGTATCTTCGGCATAGTTGCTGGTTTGATCGTCGCGATCATCCTCACCCTCAGCAGCGCCGGTCGTGCATGGCGCGTCATCTCCCTCATTGGCTTCTTCATTGGTATCTCAACGTTGATCGCAGCCTGGAAGGGCATGTGTGTCGTTCTTCACGGCATGCACCACCGTCATCTGCGACCATGGGAGCTCTTCGCTTCCGATGACGAGCCGCAAAGCTACGACTTCAAGTCTGACTCCTTCCAGAGCGTTGACTCGCACGCGTCGAGCAACTCTTGGGAAGACGAGCCATGGGTCGCCCGCTACGAGAAGCGCAATGTCGTGAGGAAGGTGTTTGACCGTGAGGTCTGGATCCAAGAGCCTGCTCTCCGCCAGATCCAGGACACCATCTTCATCCAAGCCATCCTCGGCGCTCTTCTCATCTCCGCCGTCGCTGTCGGCATCTTCTGCGCCATCCCCAAGGGCAACTACTTCTAAGTGCGGCGACGAACCATCCAGCCACACTCCTATCTTCTTAACCCGAATTCCCATCCGAGCGATTTCTTCTCAATTCCCCCTTTGGCTCTATGCAAGCTGCTTCTGATACCCATGTACATGTGTTTACGACACACAAGTGCGCGCGACATTTTGGTCCGTCTGTGCGAGAATAGCGATTAATGGGACATGTTGGTTCGGCGCCGGCGTCTGGATTAGCGATATGATCTACTATGTAACCGATATTTCCTTACGATATAAAACCTTAACGGAAAGAAGAAGATACCTGGAAGAATGAGAGGAAAGAAAAGTTTCCTTCTATATAGTCGATATATGCAGATTATGTCTTTATGGATGCAAGACTTTGATATCTCCCGTTGTCCACAACATCCGTGCGTTCCATGTCGTGATCTTCCACAATCCTCCGTCGTCCTCGTCTTTGAGCAGCTGCATGTCGTACAGCGAACTCGCCGTATAACTCGTATCAGCCGCCACAAACGCCTCTTCCTCTCTCACATGGTACGAAATGACATGCGCCGTCATGCGCGCGAAGGTCGCATTCTCGCTCTCCGCTTCTATTCTCACATTGCTCACGGTATGTGTGGTGATGAGGTTGAAGACGCGATCTAACAATGGATTGATTGCGTCGAAGCCTGTGACAGTTTGTTGGGCGCCCAGCGGCCCGTAGGTAAATGTCATCTGGGGGGTTTTGTGACAGGCGGACTCTACGAGGGAGCGGTCGTTGCTGTCTAGGCCGAGGGTCAGGCGATGGAGGGTGTCGGTTATGGATTGGTGGGTTGTGAGGTTGGGTAGGTTGACGGTGGGAGTGGGGGCGGACATGTTTGGGATTGAGTCAATGAGGTTTGTTGGTTGACTGCTGTTGCTTCTTCTGGTATTTGAGTCGTATGCAGTCTTACCTTCTCTCTACAGCTTATATACGTAGTTGTTGCTACAGCATACCATACCTAGGTAGGACGGGGCGTATCCATGCCGCGGACACAACGTGTCAGTATGGAGTTATCGGGCTTACGACGCTGGTTCACACCAGTTCAAGCAGAAAATGTGGAATCCATCGGATTTAACAGAGATAGCTGTATCTTTTGGCATAGTAGGATTGCAGAGTTCCGAGTCTCTCCTGCGACTGGTATATATATCGGTGGTTCAGTGCTCCGTCTTCGGCGGCTTCCGGGAACGCCTTGCACAGCCACTTTCTGCCTGCAGCTCCATGCGTCACGCGCCTGGCTTGATTACAACGACTCAGTTCTGTGATTACGAGAAGGTATGGTTCTTTGAGTACGAGCAGAGCCGCATATCCGGTGAATGCTTCACTTGGTTGTGAGCTTGTGATTTTGCATACCGGTCGGTTCAGTCGTGTAGGCAGTAGAAACCTTGGAATGGAGGCGCGAGGCAGACTGTGACCGGATGGAGGCTGAAGACGACGGTCAGTTTCTTGCGCCTTGGAAGTTATTCTGCAACTGCGTGATGTGTGGAATCATGTTCTCTATTATGATATAGGGTTGAAAGGTTGGTGAGGCACGTGGTGAGGTGGCTGCAGCCTGTGTGGCTGTGCTAAGTGCCGTTTACCGCTGTTCCGGAGGCTGCCGGTCGTGCGAAGAGGGGAGGTTTTGAAGTAGACATGGGCGCGAGGTAGTTGTATGTATTACGATTATATGAGGATAGGTGTATGATGTTATTGAAGGGTCGTGTTCTATATTTGCATGTGGGCAGGTAGCGGCTTCCCAAATCTGCAGATCTACAGTCGATGCACCACAAACCATGGCCATAATATGGCATATAACTATTGGATCTATACAAGAAAAGAATCGGCCAGGTACCATGAAGTCATAGTGCAACTGTGCAGTAGCATCATGGCGAATGCTGCTATTTTTCGCTCAGACAAGGGTTTAGAAGATGCTAGAGGGAACTATGATGCTTGATACGACACTTCGATAATACAGGTACAACACTCGCATGTTCACACGAGCAAATGCGATGAAGATGACTGTGTCGTGACGATACTTCCAAGGAATAACCCAGATATCTCAGCAAGGCGAAGATGTGCGAACAGGCGGTGGGCGTTGAACAGAGGACGGGAAGCGAGCAAATAGGGCTTTACCGGCGGTGGGGACAGTGCAGGGCGAAGGCGCGAGGAAGCCGCGACCCGCAATTCACAGACGGCTACATGCGTCACCTAGCATCTTTGTACATCCAACATGGCCGTTGTTGCCGCGCTATGTAAACCTGCCCTCTCCGCTATCTTCGTCTTGTTACTCTTGAGGCCGCCCTAGCTAGTTGCCCAAGCTGCATGCTCGCCAAAGCCACTGCCTAGTCTCTCACTGCTCGCCTGACCATCGCTCACGTACGCCCATACATGTCTTACGAATACGACAGCCGGTACCACCACCGCCCGCGCCATGACTCCCACTATACATCAAGAGAGACGGACCCCTACGGCTATGCGAGGAGCGATAAGACTCTAGCTGAGGCGCGCGAGCAGCTGGCAGACATGCGCCAGAGCAATCCATACACCTCGTCCTACACGCCGTCCTACAACACCTACACCTATGAGCCCCGCACTTCTCCACCCCTGCCACCTCGACGACCCGCGCCGCATTCGTACAGGTCGCACAGGCAGGAGCAGACATGGCCGCCGTCACCGAGCGTCGAGGACGAGAGGGAGGCGCTAGCAAAAGAGGCGCCGTCCTCCGTGGGGTCGTCAGGGCAGGCCGAGGGTGAGCCGCCGAGCAACACGCGGGGCACCGTCGACCAAGACTCCCTGCTCGACGAGATTGAGCAGCCGAGCGTCGCACAACACGACCGCCGCTATGTGCTTGTTTCCGAATCGAGCACCGATGACGATGGCAGCACGCTTCGGGACCGGCGCCGGCGCAGCTTTGCTGACCGTGGGGGCATGTCGCACATCAACACCGACGTCCCAGACCCTCCTGTCTTTACTGAGCGCGTGAGGGCGCCCTATGGCTACTCGAAGCCCCAGAAGGAGTCCACCGCGCCCTCGCCTGCAGACTACATGCGCTCGCCAGAACCCATTACGCCTTCGAACAGCAGCCATCCCAGGTCAGATGCAAGCAGGCCGTCGAGACCGATGCCAACTGATAGCCGACACAACTCCTACACGTCGCCGGCGTCAAAGAAAGAATACGTGTTCGACTCTGACTCTGACTCCGAAGCGCACAGCACGACCCACCTGCGAACCGAACGAAAGCCCGCGCGGTACAGCTTCGTGAAGAGCGACCTGCAAAGGGAGGACCTGAGGACAAACCTGCGCGATACACAGGAGAGGCCCGAGCCGCGTCGACACGACTCCGGGCAGCGTCCTCTGCCGACGATACGTAAGGGTGATTCGTCAGGCTCGTACAAGGAGTACCCCAATGCTGAGTCGCCGCGGTCGTCTTCGTCTTCGGTGCACAGCACGCGGCGATCGAGGCCTGTGCCCGTAGATACTGTCTATGCTAACAGCTCACGCCCGCTGTCCAGACCAAGCTCGCCATCGTATCGAGCGCCCTCGCCTCAGCTGCCTACCCGACTGCGAGACTCCCCTCCAGGCTCTCGACCATCGTCCCGCGGTGGCCCTCGGCCAACCTCTCCGCTCGCTTCTTCGTTCCAACCTTCTTCGCCCGGCCGCGGTCGCGGACCCGTATCCGAGTCAGATTGGCACTCCACCTATCCTCCAGCACCTTCCGACGACAGGTCAAGACAACCCTCTCGATATGGCCGACATGACACCATGCCACTCCCGAGGCCTCGCATCGATGTGCACAGTCCATCTCCCGCGAGGCAATCCACAGGCGACTCTTTGCCATATCCCATCGACGACCAGCTCATTGACGTCTTTATGCCACCCGAAGAGCACTATCAATTCGATCATTCCACCGTCTGCTCACCGAGGCAAAGCTACGTTGACATCCCGAGAGCGACGTCGCCGGCAATTCCTAGCTCGCCGTACACGCGAGATCTACCTTCCCGGGCTAGGAGGCAAGACACAGAGACATTGGAGGAGCCTTCACGACCAAGGAGGTCCAGGTCGGGTAGTTTCCGCTCTCACGATGGCCGCCGTGACAGGTCATCTCGAAGGACTGCTTCAATGGACAGAAAACTTCCAGACTGCCCAAGACCTTACAAATCTGGGCCTTACGATGATTGGTACGCGCTCCAAGACAACAAGAACTTCAACATTTGCCCTAGTTGTTACGAGGGTGTCTTCGCCGGTACACCCTTCGACGTGGACTTCAAACAGGTATGGCTGAACGACTATTCGTTGGAGCGGAGCTGTGATTTCAGCAGCCCATGGGCACGTCTTGCGTGGCTGTTGACGCTTCAGCGAGGTCGCAAATCGCTCGATCTGATCAACGCAATTGCAGGTGTCATGGACACAGTAGCCAAACCGTGTCCTGGAGATCGTGAGGCTGGTGCAGAAGACCGCATTAGCTGGTACGGCATTACAAACCCACGCGACGGTACCCGTGTAGCCAACTTTGCTATATGCTCGAGCGATAGGAGGATGCTTGAGGCCTTGCTGCCTTCTCTTCGTGGTTGCTTCGCTAAGATGCCGAAGGACGACAGGCACGTATGCAGCTTGCGTACGAGCTCAACCCGCTTCCCAAAGTATTTGGATCTGCTCGTCGAGCTAGATGTCGAGGCTGAGTTGTCCGGTCAACTCCCTGATCTGAGCCGCTTCGTCCTATTGCTCCGCGAGAATTCCTACAAAGGCGAGTGCCAAAGGTACAAGATCTTGTTCCGCAAACCATGGCACTTCATCCCTTCGCTGCCAGAGTTCACAGTCTGTGAGCAATGCTACGACGAGCTCATCTGGCCCGCCACACAATCCAGATCCACGTCATCGTCCATACCGCACATGTTCAACAAGTCGATCCAGCTAGTCCCTGGTGAAGATCCTGATGTCGGGTCCAGCTGCTGTCTGTGGAGTCCAAGGATGCGCGACGTCTGGAAGGAAGCTGTCAGATACGACGACTTTTCTTACCTGAAGGACACAGCGAAAGAGAGAAAGAGGGCAGAGTCCAAGTATATGAAAAACAGAGTACGCATCATGACGTGGATGGGCGACGCGGAAAAGGGGACTAGGAAGTGGAAGGAAGCTGAGGATGCGATGAGGGAGCTAAAAAAGAGTTGGTATACTTACGAATGATGAGGTTATGATTGGAATGGGATATGTAGAGTCAATGAGAACATGGTTATTACTATTACTGCTACTACCGCTTTGTTGGTACGATAATTACCTTATCTTTGGTACCGAGTGTGGATTTGAAAACTGGCTTTGATTTAACTCCCACGACTTTGCAAAACCACATCCCCATTCCAAACTGCCTTATATGAAAAATGAATTTCCTTGAGATTTATTCCCTCGATATTGAAGCCGCTAGAATGCGTAGCGAGGATTTCTCGGCGATGAATTCCTCTATGATACCACACCTTGGGTCCTCGTCAAACCCCTCCCAAAGCTACAACTCTGACGATCGGGTACAAACCAAGTAAAATTGCACACTCGTCCCAGCGCTTTACCGCAGTACCACTAACCTACAACCCAGAGCGCCCCAAGAAGAAGAAATGCCAACACCCGGCGAACGTCAGACAACCGTCGCCAAACCCCCCCTTACGCGGGATCAATACCGCATACGCAAGTTGACTAAGGAGAACGCGAGACTCAGATGGGAAGTCAAGGAAAGGGATAGCAGGATCTCTTCGCTGGTAGAATGTCAAGATGCTTTGAAGGAAGACTTGGCTGCTGAAAAGAAGAAAGTGAAGGTCTGTAGAGAGCGGTTGGTGTACGAGAAGCAGGACGTGGATGACTTGGAGGCGGAGTTGCGAACCGCTAGGAGGAAACTAAACAGCCTGCGTGTGTCACTTCTTGATACTGACGACGAGCGTAATTGGTCCGACTGGGAGGTAGATGAAGAGAATAAGGAGTAGGGTGAGCAGAATGAAGACGAGCCCGAGGGCAAATCATACAGGGAAAGGAAAGTGAACAAGAAGAGTATGGGTGTCCAAGCTCAGATGTCTGGATGTTCGACGTTGGTATGTCTACGATGTATCTGTCCTCCGAACTGTTTCCCTGCGCGGACTTTATCATGTCTTGGGTGCTGTATCTCTTGTTCTGGGACGTATACGACACGATCTTAGTCAATCATCTTGACTTCGTTACTGTCATCTGCTTGTGCATCTTACCTAGGTACGTCCATCTCTACTTTCCGTAATGCGCGCTTCCTTAACGCATGTCGTCATGTCACCGACATCTGTTTGAGCAACAAACAAGAGACGTAGCTGATCAGGTCGACAGACTTCGAGGGTGTCACTTGTTGCGAGCTCCTGTTTTAAACGCACGCAGTCCGTTGGTGTCGCAAACACTCACTGCTTGTTCAATGTGTCTCGCGACATGTATATAGACGAGCGATCTGCACTTCCACATGACACCTACATATATATCCTCCACCATCCTCCAGTCCCCCCTCGAAACAAGTGCTGCTTCGATATCGCTAGCGATGTCGCCGACGCCCGTTTGCAGAGTAGACAGGGGTCGCAGGTACGCAACTCGCCACCCTCCCGTCCTTTCACTACAACAGAATCAGCGGAAGAACTTGTCGGCTGACCGCAAATCTAGTTTTTCCGTCGCCTACGGACTGTGCGCCCACGGACCTTTTCGTTGTTTTGACGACTGATATCCCCGCTTTCTTGTTGTTTCTCTCAACACCCACGTCCGTCTATTGACACCCGTATACACGACACCACCGACATCATGGACGACCTAAACGACAACGACATCAGCATGGGCGATGTCCCCGAGGTCACTGTGGATGTACCCGATGATCACCAGTCCGGAGGGGAAAGGGACGTCGTCGGTGTTGCCGCCAAACATCGCGACGCTGAGCACAACTACGAGATCAAAACCTTCAAGATTCTCAAGCCCTCCGTACCCCTGCCCCGTCTCTTCGACATCTACTTTCACCCTGAGCGTAGCCTTGTACCTGTCGTTCCTCAAGATATCCAGCTTGACTTCTACTTCTACATGTACAACAGCATCGCCAGCGACAACTTTGTCGCACAGAAGACGCAGCCTCTCGACATCAGTCGGACCATCTGGTTCTACGGTGTGGATAGTACTCATGCATTCACTATGCATTGTTACCAGATCCGCTGGAACGTCATCATCATGTCCTTCCTTTGGGCAACTGGATTCGATGAGCGGTATTGCAAGCCTGCGTGTGGGCCTTTCATCATCAAGTTCATCAAGGTAAGTTCAAAATCCTCAGATATCCTCCTTATGTGATGGCCTGTACACCTTCAATCCTTTATTGGCTTTCCTGTATCACTTAAAAAGTCCCTGAGGCACTTTTGGCTATCCCATGACCTTGACTTCCAGCTGACAAGAACTAGGCCTGGATAGAGTCACTGGTCTTTCAGCACGACATCTCCGACAACATCTTCGCCCAACGCGAGGCTTTCATCAAGTTCTGGAAGAACGGCCCTTTCGACTTATACTACTTCGGCAAGCGCGACCAGGTCAAGATGATCGCCCGCATCAAACATCTGTACAAGCAGCTTGAGACGAAAGAACTGCCCAAGCACGACGACCTTGTCAAGGCGCTACGGGACGAAACCCTTGACGAAGAGACGTTTGAGCGGTATGGTCCTACGCTGGCCTTCCAGTGGGTTATCGGACGAGAGAAATATGCGCGCGAGGAGCAAGAGGCGATCGACTTCGACAACGAGGTCAACCAGTCTGATCTGGAGTTGGCTGAGGCGGATAGGGAGGTGGCGGAAGCGCAGAAGCAGGTGGAGCTCACTGCTGCAGCCCTTGAGAACGTCGACGAGATGGAAGAAGATGATGAAGAGGAGGAAGAAGATGGCTTCGATCCCTTCCCCAAAGAGTACCATCCTAGTCTCTCGCGTGTGGGATGGGATGATGTGCATGGTATCGTCATGCCACTCATGCGACCTGTCGATGCATCACTTCCTCATCCCAGGACGGTACACGCGAAACATCGTCCCGTGGTTAACGAGAGCACATTCTACGTCACCAGGGACCAGATTTTCGATCGCATCTTGAGGATTCGGGATGATGAAATTGATGAGTTGGGTGACAGTCTCGCGACGATGACAACCATGATCAACACCAAGTTGACCTAGGTCATGCATCAGCCTGTCGCATACGAGTACTCCCTGAAGACATGTCTGGAGTCTGAGCATACGCTGAGGTTGATCAGCGGACTAGATGTAGATACTGATAGAAACTGAAAATGTGTTGAAGATGATCAGGCTTGGTGATGTTTTGTCGATGTGAGGCCAGGAATTCATAGAGCGGTACGGAAGAACAATGCACCGAGCCTCGGCTCACCCCCAGCTTCCAACATCCGGGGCAAGTTCCGATGACGAACATCTACCCGTGTGTCGCGATGGCTATCCATATTTCTCCTTACGACGCTCTCACCCTTCATCCAATCTTTGATTCCCTTCAAGATGGATAATAGCTCGCTTTTCGATGTTAAAGTACGTACCTGCAATGCCCATCTGATCATTTTACTGACTCTCATCAAGGGCAAAGTCGTCCTCGTCACAGGCGGCGCGAAAGGCATTGGTCGCATGATTAGCGAGGGTTTCATCCAGAATGGCGCCACCGTATACATCTCTTCGCGCGATGCGAAGGCTTGTGAGCAAGCGTGCAAGGAACTGAACGCGCTCGGACAGGGCAAGGCCGACTTCATCGCTGCGGATCTGTACAAGGAAGATGCAGCAAAGTACATAGCCGACGAGCTGAAGAAGAGAGCAGGCAGTAAGTCACCCATGAGCTGTCATCTACGCCACTGCCGCGGAATAATGAGCAGTTGTTAAAACTGTACAGAGCTTGATGTCATCGTCAACAACAGCGGAAGTAACTGGGGCGAGTCTTACGACAACTATCCCTCCGCCGCATGGGACCGCGTCCTCAACCTCAACCTGAAGCGCGTCTTCCAGCTTACCCAAGCCGTCACGCCCCTCCTCGAAGCCGCCTCGACCCCTACATCTCCCGCCCGCATCATCAACATCGGTAGCGTCGACGGTCTGCGCGTCCCCGCCCTCGAGACATTTGCCTATTCCGCCTCCAAAGCCGGTCTCCATCACATGAGCAGAGTACTAGCAAGTCACCTCGGCAAGCGCGGCATCACGAGCAACACGATCGCGTGCGGTCCCTTCCAAAGCAAGATGATGAAGGCTACATTGGAGAAGTTCAAGGATGTCATTGAGAGCGGGATACCCTTGGGACGCATTGGCAGCCCAGAGGATGTTGCAGGTACATGCATTTGGTTATCAAGCCGAGCCGGATCATATGTCAACGGCGCTACTATCGCGCTGGACGGTGGTAGTGTCGTCGGCGCGAAGTTGTAAAAACACTTCTCATATACGTGTACGCGATGAACTTTGCGAAATACAATGGACATTTGGCGCAGGACACGGTCACCATGTTGAAGCGTACTACTGACAAGCCTCACAGCTGATACAATAGCACTCGGTGTGCTCTAGCTCAAGACGACATTTCTTCGCGCTGCAGACTTCTCTTCGCACTTGATCTACTATATCTACTACATCAGTCTCTGTCTATCTTCTACATGGCTAACAATCAATACGTATCCTCCGCGCCAACAGTCGATCAAGAAGCCAGGGGCTCATGTTCAGCGAAATGCCTCAGCCTCATTCACAAGCCTTTCTCTCGTCTCGCAGCAAGAGTGTAGAATATACTACCGTCGTAAATGCCACGGATATCTTCCTTCATCATTCGGCCATCTTCAGGCCAAAGCATTATGTACGTGGCAATCCCTGAGTTCGTCAGCATTGTTTCTACAAAGTACACTGGCAGAACGGCTTACATTCAAAGAATGCACCACCCCATCCAATCGGATCAGCAATGCATCGTTGCCCTTGAAGCACGTTTTTCACGTCCCAGATCGTTAGGTAATCCCTCCCCTCAGCATACTTCGCGAATATGTCCTCGAACTTCTGTGGCATAAAGCGCCCTTCGTGGTCGTATGTCCCAGTATCACTGCCATGCTTATCTCTATGCACATTCTTGAGGAAAAGACCTATAATGGTAGCGCAACAAGTCAGGATCTGTCTCAATTGTGGTTCGTGGCTTGGATCACTTACGAAAGAACGGGTCAGGCAGCCAGCCCTCGCATGTAGGGTATGAGAAGTTCGCATGAATCACGCACACCGCGACTATGGACAGAATGACACCAAATCCGAGACGATAGAAGCCAATAAATGTATCCTGTGGCCAGAGGATTCCATCATGGTCGCGATCAAAGAAGTCGCAATGTTGTTGTAGAACAGTCTGGTGAGAATGCTGCTCCGCCCAGCCTTTGGTGCCTTGGGGAGATTCTGTTGATGGCGCGAGATTTGCACGAGCAGTACCTGCCTATGTTAGCATTTTGGTTAGAAACCGTTCTATACGCGAACACGTACCCGCATGTTGGAGCTTAGAGCCTTTTGTATTGATATATGGTTCTCGCTGCTCGGTGACAGGCACGTCGCGTATCGAGGTTACCACTCCATCATCGCCATTCGTGAGACGCTCTGAACGTCTTGTTACTTCAGCCATGTTGGTAATGAGGCGGAGATGAACTTCGTGTAATTGTTGAGACGGCAAAATGAACAGCAAATAAAAAGAACGCTATTTGCAACTTCAATGACATCACGCCATCTGAAACAGCCTTGACCAACTTTTGAATCATGCCCAACTATACCGTCACAGACTCGTCATTTCACAATTCTACGAACATCGCATTTTGTTCGTGCATTGGTGAGTTGTTGCACTAGTCACTGGCAAAGCGCGTCGCCTATTGTTGTACCGGCTCGTGCCGCTATTTAAGTGCATCATTGAACCGGCAGCCCGCCAGCCCATTAACGTTGCGAATCACAGCATGTACATTACCCTTTACCGCATTACACATCAAGTGGAACTAACGCTCAGCATCTGTAGTGATTTCCTGCATGTATCTACGTTGCGCGAGATTTCGCACTGGCTTCGATGACGTCATTCGCCGGCTCTGGCTACGTTTGTCGCGTCTGAAGTACCTAAGTAGTCCCCCCGTTGTTATCTTGTCGGCTCGCGCTCGGATTTGAAGTCTTTTCGCGAGGGACTTTGGGTGTGTACGTTGGTGGGTTGTTAAGTCGATAACGGTGATTTGCCAGGGTTCGTCGGAATGCCCGTTGTTATCCAACATCGAAGTAGGAGGATTTACCATACTGTTCCCTGGGGGCTGTTTGTGTCACTAGAATCACCCTCGCTTTTGGACTCTCAAGCTTAAATACAACCTCGATGTCATCTCAAGACGCGCAAACGAAGCGTCTAGTTGTAATCGTGGGAATACCGTGTCCTAGGCGTTCTTTCATGACCTACCAAGCAATGCCCATCAAAGCTCTCTGTCGGCCATTTCTTTGAACTGGTTGCTGGTTGCAGCGTTGCGTCAGTAGTCATCATAAACCCGAATATAGTCTTAACAACTGCGGGCGCCGCATACATCACTGGAACACATTTACACGGCTCCGATCTCTTTTGCGTCGCTTTTACCCGACGACGTTCATGAATGCACTCATCTCACTTGCTACTTGGTTGCCGACCGGGCCGTCTACCATTATCACGAATGGTACCTAGAGACAGGACCTCAAGCTCTCTCGAGATGGAAAGAACGCGCAGGCAGCTGCAAAACCTCGTAACGCGTTAACAGAGATTGATATACTGGGTCAGAAGTGTCGAGATCTTGCGGAAGGATCGAAGGTGACGTCTGCTGCGATCAGTTCGCGGGCGTTTCGATCGTGCTAATGTCTACTCAATAATTCGAGGAGGTCTCGACTTCCCACTTGCGAATACTGGTACATCTGAGGCTAGGCTCTTGCAGGTTGCTTCGACGGCGTCTGTACAAGTGCTGTAGTCATTAGTATCTACCAGAGATCATGATATGAGCAATCTGCGCATCTATGTAGGCTCCGAGAGAGGGCAATTGACAACCTGTTCGCCGCAGTCTATCTCACTATCTCCGATAACATCAGATGGTGAAAGGTCGCACTGGCTCTCAATTGCGTGTTTGCACTCACTCACACAACCCTTCACTGAACCCGGCCCCGCACCGCCCACTCACTCCCGCCTTCACTGGCTTCACTGCCCACCCACATACTGTATATCGCGATTCGAACAGTCAAAGTATCTACATATCAGATTCTAAACCATGTATATAAAGTCTGTTATTCTAGATATCTCCTACAAGACTCGGTATAGTGGTCTCCGACCTACCTATACAACATTTGTCCCATGTCCGTTGTCCCAGTCCGTTCTCGTTTAGGAAGTGCGCCGATTCGAATCTGGTTTGCATCTTGAGGGTTCCTCCCTCTTGGGCAAAGTTCGGTTTAGATTGGTTCGTAGTTACCTTGTCTTGTTTTTTGCCCTTTTTTTGCAGCTGCCACCGCCATTCTTTTTTTGTTTACATACCTAAGAGCAACAACTTAGGTAGGCGATGTTCATTTCTTTCTTCCTTTTGCGCATTCTCGCTGTGTCTCGTTCGCGGAAAGTAGGTAACACTTATTGTTCTTTTTGCCCTTCGCTGGCCTGACTCCGCCACGATCGTCACGACCGCCACAACAGCGTTGCGATTATACCATAGCAGTACACAAGCTAAGGGTATTCTGATATGAATTAGATTCAATAAAAACAGCTAACAGGACTATTTTGTACATAGATTCGCGCCGACATAATAAATTCGCAGCCTGGGTATATGGAACAAGGGGAAGTCGAGTATCTCATCTAGCAAACAAAAGAAGAGCGCTGACGGACAATGCAAACAACCCTTCTAAAGAGCAATTGAACCAGCCCCCAGTGATGACGCTCTCAAACACTCAGTTATCTTGCTTCTAAGCTTCCCTTAGAACGACTTTGGATCGATCATGAAGCCCACTCGTCGCCGGCTGTCGGTTCAGCCCTTTGAGTAATATGTGAACCTTCACATAGTGCGTGTGCGTCGCATTAGTGCGCGTTGTTGCTCGGTGGAGCACAACTGGACGCGCTGCGGTTGTGGAATCTCGTCGCCGGTCAAGCTGCGGGTCCAGGGTTCATCTGGGTAGGCAGAGGCCGCAAAATTTCCATGCCTTTGAACGAGAGGGAATACAGAATCCGCTATGTCTAATTAGCATCTGCTGGTCGATGTCAGCATTATGTGCGGACAGGTACCTGTCGAGACTGGGCGAGAACGCCGAGATGTGCACCGCCCCCAGCTCATCTTCAAGCTAGGCCACGATAGCACTAGAGTGAGTCCGAGTCCGAGGACAGCTACGCAGACGCCGATAAGCGTTAGCAGTGCTTCGGTCGACAGGGTATGTGATTGGACAGCTTCCCCCGCGGTGAGGTCTCGCGGTATGGCGGCTGCGCGGGTAGAGGAGACAATGTGCGCGCTTAACAGCAGCAGAATACACAAGGAGTCCATCGAAGAGGAGTAAGATTAGTAACAGAGGCTGGAAAGTGTGCAATGTTGTTCGCGCCTCGGGTCTCTAGCCATGTCGTCTTGTCACGAATCTCGAGCGTTCGTATATACCCCGATGCGCTTATGGTCAGGCTGCCATCCCACAGGCAATTCAGAAGTTCCAAGGTTAGGAGAAGGCTGTGTTGAAAAAGACATCGCGCTAACCGCGTCGGGCTTCACTGACCTGCATCCAAGAGCCTGATGCGCTGCACGTTAGCACGAGTCCGCCTCCCTCAATCGACTTGTCAGATGCTACCATACGCCCAGTCAGTCTACGTAACATGCTGCGCCTTCTGTCAGAGTCACGCTTGTTGTATGGCGACTCGCATGCACCTTATAATTCGAATTTGGCAGCTGATTACACACTGTCTTGAGAGCGCTGTTTTGGCTTTGCCATCTTGTTTCTAAGATCGGTCTTGCAGATCACCACATTGTGTCATAACCGCTTCGACTAAACACATGATCATGTACATGTGAGCTCAAGGAACCGACGGCCCTGGTTTACTTGTTAAATAACCACATAGTCCTGGTCACATACCATGTGGAAATCGTAAGGAGAAGAATGTTTTTATCCTGATCTCTGGTAATGTCCGCCATCAGAGGCTGAATTGGTATTATGCGGTCCTAAACCACGCTTCATTTTTACAGATCTTATTCTCCTAAGGAACTAAGGAAGGTGCTGATTCTGCGTACAATCTGGACCGCCAAGTGTTCACAAAGTCTTCGACGCGGCAGTAGGGCCATTTGCCTGTAAGACTTCACGCAACAAGATTTCCTGCAGTGTAAATCCTCAGAAAGTAATAGAGTGTCGCATCAGCCCGCGCTGTTGTTCGCAGTTGTCAGATCGCGCGCGTTGTGGTCGGCTTATTCCAACCTCGCCCGCGCCAGCGGCTGCCCAAGGTTCGTTCGAGAGATGTGATATCGCGTGTTGCCGTGGACCATTGACAGGCGGAATTCGCGCGTTTGCTGTGTTTCATCAATGTCGTGTGTTATTATGGAGGTATCTTGGGGAAAGACATACCGGTGGATCTGGGACGGGACCGATCATGGCGGCGGGAATCTAGCCTTGCTCTTAAGCTAGGCCACGTAAAAGGAAGCGCTATACCGAATACAGCCACGGCCACGGCGATCACACCAACGATGGCCTCCAAGGATATGCCCTCTGATTGGACATCGAGCTCTGCAGCGTTCCGTTCGAGCACGCAAGAGGCTGTCGGGCGAGCGTGTGAGAAGACGGATAAGTGTGTTATAGCAACAAGTGTGACCTGGAAGAGCATACTGCTAGAAGGCGGTGCAGACGGCACTTCGACACGGCTTGTGGTGGGTCAAGTATGTATCCCAGACTGTGGCCAGACGGGCGTTGGTTGGGTGAGGATTTTGACAATGCCTTCTTGACAGATGTATGGGCAGGACGCGATTTCTAGTGACAACGAAAATGACTTCAAGCTTAGTTTGAAGCATAAAAGACGGTGCGATATGGGTTTCCTGATGCAAATGTTAGCCATGGTGTACGTTTGTTATATAGTCAGGTAAACCAAGGTAAATTCGAGCCCCCGATTGTACCTGGGGGAACTGGCCAAGAGCCCTTCCTTACACCTGGTACCCTGCACATCGATTAATGTAATCCAACGTGCGTGCGCCAATTGATGATACGTAAGGAGACATGGGTGTGGAGAGCGCCAATCATTTGGCTCACAGCATGACAAGTGTGGGTCTTCAGGCTTAGCTCTCGCATGCGCCTGAGACATAGGAACGAAGAAAGTCAGTATTACGCACGGTCTTTCGGAGCAAGCCCCAAAACGCGGAAAGAAGCGTATGCAAGGCGACGCGAGCATGGCTGAAGCACTTCTCAACCCAGTGCCATGCTATTGGATCGCAGCCAGTGCGCAAGTCAGTTGTTGCCACAGCATTTCGCAAGCGGTCTGGCCTAGTGATGGAGCGAAATGAGAGTCACCAGTC